TTATGTGAGTCAATGTGAGTATCCTCCATCGGGTTCACACGCTGAGTCCTTTATGTGAGTCAATGTGAGTATCCTCCATCGGGTTCACACGCTGAGTACTGTAAGCGCGTCAATGTGAGTATCCTCCATCGGGTTCACACGCTGAGTACTGTAAGCGCGTCAATGTGAGTATCCTCCATCGGGTTCACACGCTGAGTACTGTAAGCACGTCAATGTGAGTATCCTCCATCGGGATCACACGCTGAGTACTGTAAGCACGTCAATGTGAGTATCCTCCATCGGGATCACACAGTCCTTTATGTGCCTCAGCCTGAATATCATCCATTGTGATCAACACAGAGGCCTTTAAGTTCGTCAATGTGAGTATCTTCCAATGAGTCCTTTATGTGACTCATTATTAATAACTCTGGGGGCCCTTATACAGTCAACTCCAGAATTATTGGTAACCCACACAAATACAAATATGAATGTAAATATTAATGTATGAAATGAACCACAAATCCAATTAATCATATTCTGAGCTAAAACAGTAGTGCAAAAACCCTGTATTTTTTTTCAAACGGAAAAACCGCTAAATTTTTGGCTAAAATGTCCCAGTAGTTTTTGGAATTCATGATACAGTTGACCTTCATAAAGACCCACCACCGTATTTGACCGTAGGCAGTAGGTGCTTGCCTTTGTAGGCAGTCCCTCTCTTGTTTGCCAGGCGTGTAAGTGGTGTGCATTACCAAAAGAGTTCCATCTCTGTCTCATGTAACAATCTGTTCCAGGAAAGTGGTTGTGAACCAATTTGTACGCGAACCAAGGAAATTTTTCCCATAAGAAAGCATTGAAATTCATTTAATTTGTTCACAACCCTACCAAATAATAATTTTTGTTAATTAATTTTCTGGATTTTATAGTAAAAACTCTAAAGAAAAACAATATAGTGTGGGCACGGGCGGACCGAGGCATCGCGGAGATTGCATGGAGATTGCATGCTGGGGAAATCACGCTCTTTATTAACAGTCCTGAAAGCCCTTGCATTGTTGTTGTTGTTAATGGTTGCATTTCCCTATTGTTTGCCCGTGACTTGTGTGTACCCGGTCCAATCCTCGCATGTATTTAGCGTGAGTAAATCTTCCACCATGTGTGCATCTTGCAGTTCGGTGTCTGACAACTTTGTGTTTTTCGTCTGTGCATTTGGGTTCCGTGCGTTGGTTGCCTGTTGTAGTCCTTCTTTTTACAATTGCACGCAGGGCATGCTGGGACATGCTGGGGCATGCTGGGACATGCGCCCTGCCGGTGATACACTAGTATAAAAAAGGAATCCGGTTGAGGAATCTGTTCGTTGACCAAATTTTGTACGCAAACCAATGCATTTTTTTCACAAAATTTTTGGTTGCAAATCAATTTGTTCGTAGACCACAGCGTTGGTGAATCGCAGGCACCACTGTATTACAGCCCTGAGATTCAAGCAATGCAGTTCAGAAACTGGTTTGGTTTCTTTTTTTCCATATCTCTCACCATAAGTCTCACAGTGCATAGAGGCAGTGTGCTGATGTGTCTTCATCCAAGTAAATTTTCAGATGTTCCATATCTATTGATTTTTTAATAATTGCCCTAATTGTGCGCAATGGTATTTCTAACAATTTCTCTATCTATAACGGCCACCTAATCTGTAAAAATTAATCATTAATCTCATTTTGATTTACCCAAAGGGCAACATGTGGCTCAGCAGGCTAAGCTGACCGGAAGGTCACCGGTTTGAACCCCTGGGATCAATAAAGTGTCATCATTATGTTGATGAATGACAAAGGGATTTTGCACCTATGTGATACCTACATATCCCAGCAAAACAGGAGGTACTCACAGACAACCAATTACATCCTGTGCAACAGGAGCTATATAAAGACATCTTTTCTCCATCAAGAATGCAAATGTCTTTGGTGTTATTTAAGGTAATCTTCAGTGGTGCAAATAATTTTGCTCTACATATTCTTGAAAGATTCCTCGAAAGTTAATGCAATGTTTTTACCCCACTTTCTTGGGCACTGCTGGAGTTGACTGTAGAGAATATACACCAGAGCCGTGGGAGGTCACACAGTCAGGCCGGGGGTCAGACGGAAACCAAGTGTGTTCAAAAACAAACCACTGCTATCTCCACTATGAATCACCTCAGGTCTGTAATTCACCAATAGGCAGAGCCGACTGAGAGAACGAGCCAATGATGGGAAGCCAGGAAGCTGCTGTTGGGCTAATGCAAATCCCCGCACGCCCTGACAAACACAGGCTTAAATCACGCAAATGACCTGACACAAAAGCAGAGACTCTGGGGGAAAAAATCCCAGCTGTCATCTTTCTCGAGACAGTATAAGAGTCATTCCCAGACCGCGACTACTTGCAACCTCACCCCAGCTCAGCGCAGATGGCAAATGTGATCATTCTGTATCACTTGATGCAGCCACAGTGATGCAGGGGATCCCGAGGCATTCCGTCATGCGGTACAACACGCTGCACCAGCGCATGCTCCCCAACCTGACCTGGCCTCACCTGACAGTGGTTCTATGAAAATCTTCTGGTCACCAGGACACTTCTAGTAAATCAGTGATATCCTTTATTATCAGGAAAACACTGTACTTTACACACGTGTACGGGCACATTCCACAGATAATTATCTCCCTATAACCTTTTGCTCAGTACTTCAATGTTGAAACTTCCTGACAAGTCTATGAAAAAAAGCAATCTCATCCACCCCAGGAAGACTGCTCTTTAAATTTTACTTCAGCCTTGGGGGTTTAAAATCACATGTTACTTTTTCAAATGAATCTGTTCAGAAATGGCAAAATTAAATGGTACAATTCGTATAAACAGCTCCACATTTTTTGCCTGAATTAAGTTTCCCAAAATAAATCAAACAATGGCAATAGAGTGAGAGCATATAATGACTTGATTCAATATTTCATTTTAGCTTGGGGCTTATGGACAAAGATTGCTGGTAATCATTAACAGTCTCCTGCGGGACTGGAGCCATCCTGGGGTATCAGTCAAACAAAGGCTTTCCTGATGAATATCACATGCTATAAAGCACGGGTGTATGTCACTAATACATAAACCATGACAGATCATTTATAATTGCTCTTATGGCTGTAGTAATTCCAGGGTCAAGCCTCCTGCAAACATTTTCCTTTACCTGGCACTAATTGGATTTTGCTTTGATAAACAGAGGAATAACTAGTGAAATGTCTCATAATCACATGGCAGCTGTCAGAAGGGATGATGAAACTGACTCCTTTATATATGGGATAGATGGTCCTGCTCTGCAATCAACACCTGCCAACTTGTTTTATAAAAAGAGAGAAATCCCTCTCAGTTTATGAGCCCTGCAGCACGGATCTTAAAGCCTTTTTGGAGAAACATCAAAAGGAGCCCACTAGGGTTGAAGATCTTCTTAGTGAGGGTCTCCTCTCAGAAACAGTGATGCTACACGTGGAAAGTGCACAGGGAAGGAGACAGGATCTGATCTGCATTTCCAAACCAGCCGCACCCCTTTGATGTCCTAATTAAAAATGCTGTCCTCAATCACAGTGTCCCTCAGCTGTCAAACGAGCTTCATGGGCCGAATGGCCTCCCCTCGTTTGTAAATTTCTTATGTCCTTATGCTCCAGTACTTCAACCAAAAACGTTAACCTGAATGCCACAGATCTTAAACTAGCAGATGGTGGTGGCTGCAGATGAATATAGCAATGATATTTCAGTATTACTTTCAGTATTACAAATTGACATCAAACGGCAACAAAATTATGGACAGCATTCATTTGGTTTCGTCGTTTGACGAGTACTAAAAATTGGACATGATAAATGTTTGTATAATATCCTTGCTTACTTTGAAAATTAAGATGTTTGTTTAAATGTCACACAGATCAACTACAAAATTTTCATGAAAAGAAACAAGACAAAAAGTCTAAAACAAAACCCTTTGTTGGCTGCATGAAATAAACACAATGAGTTTGTTCAAAATCAGCAAAACACATGGAGACGGCGGACAGACAGGACCTGAGTGAAATGGGCCCCCCCTGGAATAGCTGGTGACCTGATGGCTTCCATAGTAGCATCCCTGGTGTGATCTTACAAGAGCTCTGAACAGTGGCAACGGTACCGTAAAGCAGACTACAAGCCATCTCAACGCAGATGACAAGCAGAGGCGTGCAAACAGCGGGCTGATTATTGCTGTTAAGCTCACGCTTATCCTAGGATAAGACAGGCACATACTTCACAAAGGGGACAGAAAACGCAGCCTTACCTGTGACGATGGCGTAGTTGGGTGCCTCTTGAATAGCTCCGTAGAACTGAATAATGTTTCTGTGACTGAGAACGCTGAGGATTTCCACCTAGGGGCACAAAACACGCAGGAATGTAAACTGTCAAAGGCACCGCGAGAGGCATCAAAACAGAGGGGCGCTGAGGACAGCGTTAACCAGCTGCGCGGGATGTGTCTCGACACGCCGCCTACACGTTTACAGTAAAGTGTCGCTGAAATAACTGTGATCTGACACGTTAACCTGAGACGTGATAAAAACAAAGGGAAGAATCGCCTGATTCAGATGATATAAGAAGACTGGGAACCTAATATGGATCCCTAATTGGGCCTAATACACCGTCAGGAGGAAGATGACCTTCCTGCACCAGAGCCTTTCAGCACAGAGAGACACTACATCTACACAGCCTGCACAGACCCGCCGAGCGTGGAGGAGGTTAAAGTGTTCATTACACAGGCAATTAATAATCACCGAAAATTCATTAGGGGTACCTCATTGTCCACCTTCAGCAGCTTCTTCACCGCCACCTCTCTGTCCTGCGACATCCATCTGGCACGGTAGACGCTGCCAAAGCTGCCCCCGCCGCAATTCTCGTAGAAGATGATGTCGTTGAACCGGATCTGCACGAAGGAGACGCCGCCAGCCGACATGGCATAATGACCCCCTGGGACTGGCAGGAGAGAAACACACCGAAAATCTGCTTAAGAAAAGCAGCAAAACAAGGCACAGAGGACACACTCCAAGCCGGCTTTTTGGGAGACAGGCCTGTGATTCCTGGGTGAGGTGTACACCCTCAGCTCCACACAGCAGGGGTAAACCTTCACGCCAGGACAGTAACCCTCCAGCTCAGGCTTCAATCCCCAGTCTGATACCCCTGCATAACCTCCTCTTATGAACTCAACCAGGACCAGAGCTTTTCCGGCAAGTTCCACCTGCTTTGACCCACAACGCCTTCCCAGGGCCTCACCAAGACCACGTGGACGACGAGGATCCTCTGTCAGGTGGCATGAGGCCAATGGTACCCCAGGCATGTGCTCTCTCTCACTCGCTCTGTGCCATGGTCACATGACTAAAACCCACAAACATTTTGCTATATTTTCAACATCTGGAGGAGCATGGACCCACGGACTTACATTTACATTATTTATTTAGCACTTCTGTCCAAAGCCACATACAAGTGACACAAATAGCACATTACAAACAGCCTATTTTGGTTAATGGAGATAAAGAGGAACAAAAGTTAGTGATATCATTCTGAACGTGAGAAACATTTATTTAAACCCCCATGCGTATGGGAAACAGATACTACAGCACAACGTGTGATGAGCTCTGCTCATTGCTTGATTATTGGATTGTTTGTTGGATATTTGGATTACTGTGTATGACTGCTTTCTTTCTTGACTACGGCTTTCGCTTTTTCCCCTTCTCGGTACTGTCGCTTTGGTTTATTGATTTACTGGTTTTGATCTCTCGCCCGGCTCTCGACTATTCTCCTTTGCTCGCCCCCTCGGATACTGTGACTTCTTGTCCTTGTGTACTGGCTGTTTGTTTGTCTCATTTTGGTGCGTAAGGAGTGATTGCTTTTTGGTTTTGCGGATCGTGGTTATTGTGTGTTTTTGGTTAGGGAGTCAGGCGTAGTATTTGTCATTTGTTTACTTGTTTTCACTTAGGTATTAGCTTAGTTGGGACGTGTTCGTTTAGCTGTTTTTGTTTGTTGTTTTGGCATAGATCACTCCCGAAGTTCGTTGCACCTCGTGTTTGTGAACGTGTTTGTGAAAAATAAAAAAAACCATAAAAAAAGAACCTCTTGTGTCCCTTGTTCCCGTTCCCTTATTCCCTGGTTGTCTTGTCTTCCCCTTTCCCTATCCCTTACCTTTCTGGCGGTCCCTGACCCTAGACCGGGGATCGTAACACACAAATGACATCATACTGGTTACAGCCATGTGGCTCAGCCTGCAGTGGTCACTGCATACAAACCCCAAAACAGACACTAAACTCTACATGCACATTTCCATTATTTCTATGTGACAATTCAGACCAATCTGATATAATAATAATAATACAATTCAGAAAACTACTGTCTGGTTATGGCATCATATGATTTCCAGCCTTGCTTTGTGATGGTGCTTTTTAAGGGGGTATTCAGGCCAGCCGAAAATGCCTTCATTGTCACAGAGTGAAACCCATGGTCTTACTGGGTGTACCACCCTCCAGTTACATTTAGGTATAAGCAGTGACTCCGCTACGACCAAATTACCGATGCAGGTTAACCTGAATGCAGTGACTCGCAGAGGAAGCCTGCATGATATGGAGAGATCACAGAAACTCCACGCACACATGGCGGAGGCTGGATTTGAACCCCAGCTATACGTACCAGTGAACCCTCTATCCCTTGAGCAGTATATGAAGAGAATATTTAATAAGAATAATTGGATTAACAAAGATATATGTTACAAAAACAAAATAGTGACAATCTCATGCATACAGGGCGAAGATGGGACTCGAACGGACAACCCTGGAGTTGCTCGGCACTAAAGCGCAGAGGTGCCCGCGGGCGTGATTAAAAATATATAGTACATCGGTGAAAAGCTAGGAAATGTCATACTGTATATGAACGTCTATAAGAGAAGTGAAGTTTATTCCATTATTACTCAAGCACTACTCAAGAAATAATGAAATAAACCATCAATAAGGGAAGTTGTGGTCAAATGCGAACATGCCCGGCTGCCTTTTTTAAGGTGCCTGGGATATTAACACAAAACACGCCTTTATCCGGCCTATTGTAATTCACACAACGGAGCGATCTTAAGTATTTTTTGTCATCTTTGAGATCTCACACCAAAGAAAAAAAATAATTCATAACAATAAATAAAACCTATACTGATTAAACTAATCAGACCAAAGTAAACTTCACTTACGGGGAGTGTCTCTTACCTTTACGTGTCTGCAATAACATGCATATCTTGACGAACTAGAATTACCCGGCATTGTCAAACAGAAAGTGGACATCCGGGGGACATTTGCCTTTAAATGCTAACAATCGTGACACTTTCTTATCAGATCAACCTGGAAATGCCAGTACTAGCAGAAACCATGGGAACATTGAGCACTGTAAAACGCGTAGCAGTATCAAATCTCTCCCAGCGATCCGTACAGCATTCCGGTCGATGAGAAAAGTTTACATGGGTTTTTCGTCGCTATAACCACTTAAAGGAGATTCAATCTGCAAACATACCTTTTCAGTTTTCTGTAGGTGATTCCACAAGCCGGCTCACAATCGTGGGAAATCAGTGTCTAAACTTAAGAGAAGACGAACCTCGTGAAGATCCACGCTGGTTTCTCCGGCGGCTGCACTTCTTCCTGAACCACAACTATACCAATATAGTCCCGAATTTCGAAACTGTGCAAACAAAATCAGATGACAACAGCTCCCCTTGGAGGAGAAAGCGAGAAATCCTTCACTCCGCTCCTCGGTAAAATAAAGCATAGTGGTTGCACAACTAAGCAAAATTATTAAGCAACAACATTTTTTTCAGGCAATACATTTAATAGGTTTACATTATTTACACCATACACATACAATAAAAATCCAAATAGGCCCCCATTTGTAGCCAATACCCCACAACGTGTAATCAGTACATTTCCTCCATAAAAAAGGTCCTCTTCAGTGTAAATGCATTGAATGATGACATCCATGGTAATAGCCTACATTACGTGTGTGATAATCATGGAAACGAAAATATTTGTAAATATGAATTAATGAACAGGCACATGGATTGTGCTAAGTGCTTGGGTGAGTGACATAATGCTCAGCGACTATCACATAACTGGCTTTATACCCCCGAGAGGAAGTCAAAAGACCTGTTTTTAATGGTCATTATATCACAGTATTAAATCACGGTATAAAACACAAAAAAAACACTCTTGAGTTAATGCAGCCTGATCCACACACTCCGTGAGGAAAAAGTATAGTGAAATTCATTTGTTATGTCAACCATCTGGAAGACAATTTTTTTATCCAAGCATTGTTTAAGAGTATAACTGATATTAAGCCAGTTTATCTGCCAATCGAAGAAATTTATCTGCCAACCAAAGAAACTTTCTAATTCTGATCTACAGACACATTTGGAAAATGACAGAACAGGAACTCCATGTTTTCAAAATTTCTGGATGCTGTTTCAGAACAATCCGGAATAATTATTTGTGCAGGCACAACTCTGAACATCTCTGGAGCCCACTGCTTCTCCATGCTGCTTGCTGTAAACAATCAATGAAGATACCAATTTCATTGGAACACCTGAAAAGGCTTCCACTGAACTCATGTCCCCATGTGCTGCAGAATCTGGGGGTGTCGTCTTGTGGTTGGGGGTAGGGCTTGGATGAGGTGGGCGGGGCATTACACATCAAGCAAGGTTATGTTTGGAGCAGCACCACGAGTGTTATGTTGTAACAGCCTATGCCCTGCGGGGCTCCAGTTTATGGGAGAGGTGGGACAGGGCCCTCTGACTGTCAATCACGTGAAGCTGCCGCACGTAGCTCCTGACCTCCTGGTGGTTCTTACTGGCCAGGGAAGCATCCAGATCTGTGGGAGGAGATGGGACAACCAAATATTAACTATAGATATTTCCATTTCAGTCAGAAAGGCCCCAGGCTTCTCAACTACAATAATGTTTTGGCATATCATTCTATGCTACGTAAGAAGGACACTTCATAAGATGTGGCAGCTTAAACGGCATGAATGGTCCATGAACACTAACTTCCGTCCTTAGAAAAAAAGATGCTAATTTATATAATTCGGCCTACTGGTGTGTGTGTGTGTGCGTGTGTGTGTGCGTGTGTGTGTGTCTGTATTTGCAAGACAGATACAATATGGGTATGCAAGACTGTCCCCAGTCGAGACAGAGAACAGATTCATTATGGGTGGGGGGGCAACAGGTAGTGAAAACAAAACAAGACATGTGTCGTCAGGAAACAATAACTACCCCCCCCCCCCCTTAGGGACAGATACTGTGCCGCAGTAGGCGTGGCTTACTGAAAGGTTGGCCCCGGCAGTACCGCATCGTCCGCACCGTGTTGACAATCATCCTCTGCGGAACAACAGAACAGCTCACAGAGAAACTCACTTCTTACATTTACTTAGATATAGAATACAAAGAGACACAAACGCTGTAGGATAAAACAGTAACACCTGCTGCCCTCACCTGGGACTGCAATGCAATGCAATGTGGGCGTAAATACTCACCATTTTCTCAAAATTAACCAGATTGTCAATAAATGTCTTGTTTCCTTCATGGGTGAAAGTCGTATCTGTAATGATAATGACGACATTAATTTATTGCATAATAAATCTGGAAAGTGGGAGTTTGAAAGTAGGCCGCAATCCAATAATCTGCAGTTACAGCATAATCACCAGTGAATAAAATTATGGATGTTGCATAATATTTGTACAGTCCCATTCCATCCATTTATTAAGTTTTTTGTAGGATACTGTCCCCAAACAGAGTAATCAATATTTAGCTGATTTTTAAAACCTTTATAAGAAACAGGAATGCGGCATGGTGACCTCACGACTCCATGGCTGTGGGTTCGAACCCTCCTGACCCTCTTGTGTATGGAGTTTTTATATTGTCCATGTGTCTCCCTAGTTTACCTTTGCAGTCCTAAGCCATGTAGTTAGGCTAATTGCCCATGGAGTTTGTGCCTGTATATGTGACCTACTACAGATCGAAGGTGTCATGCTTCCTGGGACGGACTCAGTTCTGCCAGCCATAGTGCCATATTGGATGACTGATAAATATGTGAAATTTAAATATTTTTTGGGAGTACAAGAGCAGTGTGATGACTTAAGGAATCCTATCTAGGATTCTCATTTTAATTTCCAGAGATCTATATTGATCATGCAGGGTGATGTTTACCCCGAGGGGAGGGCCACAGTAACCAAAGGGCAGAGCAGGCAGGTACCCCAACACTATGAATGCCCACAGCGGCTGACACAATGGCACATGCCGCAGGTGACTGGCACGTCGTGCCCTTACCTTTAATGAGCAGTGGCATGAAGGGGATTATGGGTGCATCCAGCTTGGCCATGGTGAGTCTGTAGGCACGGTGGTTTCGCGAGGGGTCCTGCGTCATTAAACACCTACAGTTACCAAGCCGTAGCTGCAGTCACCTCATCCCACAAAGTCCTTACAGCTGATTCATTTACAGAGAAGCACTGACAGATTAGCTCAATGATACATGGCACAGGATATCTACTTTAGCCAAATTCAGAACGTTGCAGACTTAATTAAAGCTTTAGCTTCGAATGGCCTAAAAAAAATCTCATCTTATCCACCTGCAGTTCTGCATACACCGCAAGAAGAACCCAAACTTGCTCTACTTATTGACAATTTCTCCTCTTTCCCCTCTATTTTCACATCGCGCCTGAAGGGCAGGTGTAAGTGTGTATAGAGTTACCATATTTGGTGAGATAAAAAAGAGGATGTGTCCGGGATCAGAATATTAATGGTTTTTCATATTCACTGGCCAATCAGGCAGTGCTTCTTATGAATATTAATAAGCTTTCCCTAAACACCCTGTAAAACGAAAATTTACGTCCATGGAAATCCAGACATATAGTAACCTTACAGTCAGCTCTCATTTACAATCTACACACAACTGACACAATATATGTGTACATAAGTCTTTTCAACAAAAGTTATAAAACACTAAGCTAAAGTTTGTTAAGGTTGCCATACGTCTGGATTTCCCAGGACACATCCTCTTTTTGGGGCCCCATCCGGGTGTTTTGGCGGTTTTCTAAAAATCAACAGTTTGTCTGGGTTTAATGTTGCAACCCATATGATGCAATGTTGCAAATTACAGTAGAGTTCCAAGTAAAGGAAAAGTTACCAATTCCTCAATATTATACAGCAGCCAATCAGTATCAACACACAGCGTTTGCGAGGCTTAATTGTTTATTAAACGATATGCACATCCCTACATGTCACACTGCACATGAGTGACATCAACTTCCAGAAAGCACTGGCACTTGGACACTTTTTGTTTTCGTGTAAACAGTGAATCGCATCGTTTGTTTGCAGTTAAAGCGTGTAGAACCAAAGTCACGCAGGAAGTTGCCCCAAATGCTCTGCCGTTCTTTTTTGACTCACCAGTAGGCTTTCAAACTCCCCATAGAACTTCTTAAACTTGCTAGGAAGCTTCTGCCAAAAAAAAAAAGAAAAAAGAGACGGACAGGTTTAAGAGATCCCCTGTTGTTTTACTGTAAAACATACATGTGAGCACAGCTTTCTATCCATCACAATCCATTTAATAATGCATACTGGTTTGGCTGCCTGTATAATGTACATATTTACACACATGGAAGAAACGCAGCTAATACATTGGCAGGTCTCACTAGAGGTCACCTTTACGTACACCTTTCCGAATCGGGTGACTTTAAGTAAAAGCTTAAGTAAATGATGCCAATCATGGTGGCCAGCAGAGTAAAAGGTAAACTGAAGCAAAGGCTACCTCCCACGTCTGAGTCAGCCTGCTCACAGCCGGGTTGCTCATCCCCATGATGATGGCAAAGAAGGAGTTTAGATTCTTGTATTCCTTGCAGCTGGAACGACACGGACAGAAACCACCCCGATGTCTGTCAGTCCAGCAGGAAACAAGCTGACGTGCCTGTTGCTATGTCAGTCGCTAATGCTGTCACCGTCAAACATGGAGACCAGGCGCATATCTCAGATCATCCGTGCTTTGTCTTGGTGGTATGGGGATAAAGAAAACTCTGCTGTGTCCAGCGTGAAAATTATTTTTCTGCAGCAGGTCTGAATACATTTAAATAAACATAGCATGAACGGCAGGGTACATCTAAAGGTTATGGAGTACCATCACCTAAACACAATGAAAGAATTTCAGAGTTACGGATTCACTTCCACTGTATCACTTTGGCTAGCGGTTGTTAAATGAGTACAGCCCCAGAAGACGGTGCCCTACACAGCCGCCCGTGTTGCCTAATAGGTTGACCAACACTGGCTGTGGGGAAGCGTGTTTTGTTCCAGGGAAGGCATCATGCTCCGTAAGAGCTCACTCACTGGGCGGCGATCTTGATGAACTTCTTGAGCAGCTGCACGCGTTTGCTGAGCTGGGAGCATAGGCAGACCTCAGTCACCACCCACAGCTGAACCTCGTTGAACCTCCTGAGGAAAAGGTCCAGGTTGGCTGTGGTCTTCTTGAAGCGCTGCCTCCCAAACGTGTGGTACATCAGCTCAAGCTGTGGAGAGGGATTCAGGGCTGGTGTGAGTGGTCATGTGACATGGCATGTAAGGAACAACAGCAAAAACATTGCCAGCACACTAGTAAAAGGACAATGGATTCACTGGCTTTTAGCGTTGCCTGCTATTTTAAGCTCAAAATAAGCGACGAGGAGTTGATATTGGCCAGCACCTCGTGTACACAGTTGAAGAGCTCCCAGTCATAGATGGTCATCTGGTAGGCCAGGTCTTTGGAGCTCATCAGCTCAAAGGTAGCAACTGATCCTGTTGATGGCCCTTCCTGCTCTGGAAGTGGAGTCTAAATAAGGAGGACAGAAAACATCCGAACATGAAAACTAAGATTTTACTTTTCAATTTATGATTAATCAATGGTGTAAAAAGCAGCTGAATCTTTTTGAGCAGAGAAAATGGAAATAAAGTCCCTCTCTAAGCCCCTACAGGGGTCTATTTTTTTGGATCCAGTTGAGATTTGCATAAAATGTTTTAAATTGTTTTCTGCAAAATATAAGGCAATGCAGTAATACTCGTCTTTGTGCTCTATTAAAAACATTATTTATCTCATTTAACTGGCCTTACCTAACTAGACTTTCATATAATTGAAGCCAAATGGAGTAATCTTATAGTAAGTTAAATCGATGCTGTTCAGACAGATTTTCAGTTTCATGTGAACGTGAATGATGCATTTCCAGTGCGGGATGGACACACCAGTGAGACGAGCTGGTTTCTGGGGCAGATGAACAGCCGTCCATTGATGCCAAGTGTGAAGAATGCCGAAATGTCATTGGGTTTCAGCACCATCTTGTCTGGGACAACAAGAGATCGCATAATCACGTCATCTGAATATGCTAGTGCTGGAACACCCTTGTGAAACAACATTTCATTCAACTGATTCTACATGACTATTAATGCTCAGAAATGAAAAATGCAAAAAATATAATTTAAAACTTGAAGAATTTACTTTAATGAATGTGAAGTTTACAGACACATTACATACAAACACACATACAAAAAAAATTTGCAAACTCCAAGCAATATATTAATATTAAGAATCCAGTACAGGGTAAGGCCACCCTTTGCATCATTTTCAATACCTTGAAACCTTATGGAAGCCCTGAGATGTGTGTGATGGGATATTGGGCCATTCTTCAAGTTAAAAAAAATGTCAGATGGAGAAGGTTTGAATTTGATTCATACTTTGTGCTCTAGAACATCCCAAAAAGGTTCAATGATGTTTAAATCTGGCACTTGATGAAGCCACAGAAGAAACCACTGTGCTGTACCCAGGGACAGGCAGCAGGTCCTCCTGTGACCCTGACCAGAAAGACGAGTGGACATACTGCGAATGTCGATTCAAAACATGGCAGTCTGTCTGATATACATTCAGCCTAAAGATTCTCAAGTCACTCCCCTCAGTGTCTGTCTTCTCAGGCTCCCTATTGGCGCTTGCATCAAGTCCTCAGGTCCATCAGTGGACAGGCAGCCATCTCCATCTCCTCCTCCATCTCCATAAAGGCTCTTTAAGACTTACAGTGCATTCAGAAACTACTCAGATCCATTCACTTTTTTGACATTTTGTTATGTTGCAGCCTTATGCTAAAATCATTTAAAATTTTTCCCTCATCTGTCTACCCTCAATAACACATAATGACAAACCAAGAAATGTTTGCAAATTAAAAATAAAAAACTGAAACACCACATTGACATTAGTATTCAGACCCTTTGCTATGTAGAGCTGAGACATGAGATTATATTGAGGTTGAGATATGACAACATAACTACAACTACAACATTTGTTTCAGTATTGGAGTATCTCAAGAGCACATTGGAATCCATTATTCTTAAATGGAAAAAGTTTGGAACAACCAAAACCCTTCCTAGGGCTGGCTGTCCAGCCAAGCTCAGCAACTGGGGAAGAAAGGTCTTAGTAAGATAGATGATCAAGAACTCGATGGTCATTCTGGCTGAGCTCCAGAGATCAGGTGGGAAGATGAGAGAAACTTCCAGTGGGACAACTATCACTGCACCATGCCACTGATCTGGGCTCAGTAAAAGCCTTAGTAAAAGACAGATGAAAGCCCACTTGGAGTTTGCTTAAAGCCTCCCAAAGGATTCTCAGACAACGAGAAACAAGGTCCTATGGTCTGATGAAACCAAGACTGAAATGTCTGGCCCTGGGGAGTTTCTAGCTATTGAAAAGCTAAGCCAAGTTTACCCAGGGCCTGACTTTGTTTTTTTAAGAAAGATCAGAGCTAAAATACTCGGGTCTATAGCCCTGAGCGATCGGACCTAACAACACCCATGGTCTGCCCTCAATTATAAGTGACATGCCTAAGGGAAATCATGCACTGCTCATCACCCGTGCAATACCAGTGGTGAAGAATGGTGGTGACAGCATGATGCTGTGGGGGTGTTTTTCAGGGGCAGGGACTGGGAGACAAGTCAGGGACGAGGGGACAGAACAAAGTAGAGAACAAAGTACAGAATAAAGTACAGAGATGTCTTTAATGAGAACTTGCTCCAGAATGCTAAGGACCTTAGACTGAACTAAAAGTTTACCTTCCAACAGGACAATGACCGTAAGAATGAAGCAAAGACAATGCAGGAGATGCTTACTGACTGCTCTGTGAATGCACTGGTGTGGCCCAGCCACAGCCCAGACTTGAACCCAACCAAACATCTATGGAAAGACCTGAAACTAGCTGTCCACTGACAGTTCCCATCCAAACTGACAGTGCTTGAGAGGATCAGCAGAGAAGAATGGCAGAAAATCCCCAAATCCAGGTGTAAAAAGCTTGTCACATCATAGCAACAATTGCTGCAAAAGGTGCTTCAACTAAGTACTGTGTAAAGGCTCTGAATATTTAATTCACTGTGATGTTTCAGCTTTTTATTTGAATTAATAATTTTTTTAAAGCCAATTTTTGCTTTATCATTATGGAGTATTGACTGTAGATTGATGATGTAAAAATTACTTAAAATAATTTTAGCATAGCAACACAACAAAATTGGATAAATGTTTAGAGGTTGGAATATGTTCTGAATCCACTGTATGTCCCATCTCCCTTCAGTCAACAAAGTGACACCACTTGTTGAGGAAAAAAATACATTGGTGCGTTGGACGGCTGTTGCAAATACTGTGGTGACTTCGTAAAAGTTTTTGAAATGACTAAGCTAACACATTTTGGCAGACATGATACCATAGCCTTACACCACCATGAAGATATTTGAAACATCAGTTTCTTTGATTAAAACGTTTGCACAGTACTGTATGTTTGTAATGTGTTATCTGCCTCACTTGTATGTCACTTTGGACAAAAGCTTTTGCTAAATATAAAGAATGTAATGTGAAAATACTCAACCTAATGACTCAGCTTTCTAGCTACATTTAAAATTCTGATACTTTCATTTCATTAAGTCATTTTCCATGGGATGTTTCTGTTACTTTGTTCCCTGCATATACACACAGTTAAATATAATGATGTTTAATTTTGGCTGTTGTACTGTCATAGCTCCTCTTGGGAAGCATTTATTCATTACCATCCACAGAGGAATTACTGTTTTCCGGCAATTTCTGCCAAATCCTGCCATCACACTGACCATATGATAAACACAGTGGACATCCACAGAAACAAAGACTCCTAATAACAGACAACAGGTCATAGTACCAAAGGAGCTGAATTTGTAGTGACATTCAGAAATAACAGATGCATACTTGATTACTCGGGTCAAGCTCAGCATACACTGCCGACCTTAGGAAACGATGGGCCAAGAGCAGCCCATGTAGATGTGGTTCAATATACTTTGGCACAGAGAATTAACAGGGAAGGTCCGGATGTTTTAAGCTGCAGCAGGAATTAAGTATTGCACTGGGGACTTTCCAGCAAGCCCCATGTTTAAATTTAAAGTGTCACATCTGGGAAATTTTCCCCAGTAAACTGACCTGGTGATGAAAGGAAAAAAAAGAGGCACAGGCTCCGTGCAGGCAACAACATTGCTGAATGCAGTGATCATTTCAGGCACTGCAAAGGCAGTAAACATTTCAGGCACTGCAAAGGCAGTGAACATTTCAGGCACTGCAAAGCAGCGATCATTTAAGGCACTGCAAAGGCAGCGATCATTTAAGGCACTGCAAAGACGGCCGCCACCCTGCTCACCTCCTGCCGAGCCCAGGCCCACCAGGAGCAGATCCTCTGTTAAACCTAGCTTGTCGGCAGCAGCGGCAGCCAGCTCACGTGCCGTGGCGGTGAGCGGCACGCGGATGGTGGTGTATGTGTGATCCAGGCAGTAGATCTTGAGCAGCACTGGAGGGCACAGGAAATGAGTGACAAAGAGTAACAAACACCAACTGCACCCTGGGCTTTAGCTGCTGCTGAGTGCGTCTATGCGTCTATGCTGACCCTGAGTGCAGTTTCAAACAGACTATCCTTGCAAGTTCATCCTTATCTTCGCTACAGCAGCATGTTTACCACGGGATCACTCACTTTCATCATTACTTTTGATTGGCTGCTGCCTTTGAAGCCGCTCTTCTCCTGTGTTGAACTGTCGCAGCACAGCTTTCTGTTAAGACGAAAGACACATGGGGGTGAGCATGACCACCAGGAAAGGCTGAGGATAGGCTCTGACATTTACAGAAGAGCCAGGGGCAGGGGTTGGGCTGTCCTGCTTTATGCATATGTGGGACACTCTGCCCCAGGTGAACGACTTACTCAAACACTGAACCCTGGCTATACGCCAACCACACCCTGGGCCTCAGACACCCTCCTAGCTATACACCAAACTCACCCTAGGCCTTAGACACCCTTCCTAGCTATAACCCAACCACACCCTGGGTTTTGCATGTAGTCTTCATTTTCTCAGCGTATCTGCTTATTATCTGCATGACCATAACTGTGAAGAACAGGAAACAGTTTGTGCTGACCTTTTTTTGGGTGGACTTGGTATCTTCTGAACTGAAAATTTAAAGGAATAGAGTACTGGAAGTTACAATGACTGCAAGAAATGTGCAGAACATCACCCAGACATAATGGGCATCTCCAGAGCAGAACAAACTAATGGCAAAGGGCATACGTACTGGCGCTTCACCACCTTCTCCAGTTCAGGGAGCAGGTCCTTCAGGGTCGGGATGGTCCTGGAGTCGTCAGACACAGACATGTACAACTCCTGAAAGGCAAAGAGAGATCACGTTTGAAGAAAGGATGGACACACACTGCTGGAATGGGGGAGAGTCATCAGGCTCTGCAAGAGATCGCAATAGACTGAACAAATTCAGTCTCATAAGGTCCTGCTTACATTTAAGTCTGAGCAAAATTGTGTTGTACTATTTCAGTAGAACACCTTTCCCTGAAAGAATAGAATAGAATAGAAGGACCACTGAGATGTAGAGGAGATAGGGGGGCTTCCAGTGACTGACCTCCAGGAAAGCTAGCAAGGCCTCCTCCTCCTGGAGAAGCTCTCCATAGATGGAGGCCCATTGCAGCACCAGGCGCACCACCCGCCGCTTGCTGCTGAGGGCGTAGTCCTGCCTCTCCTGCTCTGAGACCTGGGACATCTGAGCATGGTAGGTGGAGCAACGGTTAAGGTTGAGGCACTTGGAGGTCAGGTATGCTTCTACCCCCCCCCACCCCAATTCCAGTGCCCAGAGGGAAAAACAGGAACCTGAAAGGATATTGGGCCATGAGCATCGGACACAGCTGCTGATTGGGGAGGAAGACGCAGTGTGTGAGCACAAAGTCATCCAGGGCTGGATCTGTGGGGACAAGGAGGACAGCGTCTGATGTCACGGAGGGCTGGACACAGCCATACACACTGATATTATAATGGACACAGCCATACACACTGATATTATATTATAATCAATACAAACTTACACACAATCACACACCACTTACCACTATAAAGGTTTCACACACACATACACAAACAAGCCATTTACACACTGTACAACTTACACACACACACACACACACACACAAATAGTGAATGTGAGTATTATGTGTGTGTGTGAGGTAAAATAGTGAATGTGAGAGCATTGTATGTGTGTATATGAAGAATTTGAAATATAGACTAAATGGCACCACATAGTAAGTGGCTTGTAATGACATAAGTAACTGAAGCCAATACCTAATTCTGTGAAGTGTGAGTCAAGTCGTATGGTCTCAAGGAAATGTTCTAGTATCTTCTCTGGTGTTCCGGACATTACATTGTACCTATGAAGTAAAGTTTTGTTAATATCCATGTCAATAATGAAATATGTCACCATTACTTTTCCTGACAGCCTCCGGTTTGTCACATCAAACTGGAGCCCCTATTGGCCCCTTACAGACAGGATACTGTGTCTTTAGCCAGCCAGGGTGGTGGGGGGGGGGGGCATTAGGTCAGACAAAGATGGAGGGAAAACAGCTGAAGGGACAGCAGCTCTCAGAAAACAGATACCGGAGCTTCAAGTGAGACACGCCGCCGAGTCTGATGCGAGAGGCTGAGGGGGCTTTGGGGTATTAACCAGAGGGCAGTTACAGTGAGGAGGGCATTACTTGTAGTGGGCCACCGTGCTGCCGTTGCTGGAGGGCCGCACGCCGCTGGGACTCTTCTCCAGCACCAGCACATCCTGCTGGTGCTCCTTCAGACGCACAGTGTTTGCCTCCACATCCTGCAGACACACATACAAACCATCCGGAATGTTCCAGAACATCATACACCTTCGTAGGTACCTGGCTCTCACCACACAGAACAAACCTGGATACACCTAGAATTATTAGGAATAACAGAAAATATTCACAGCCAGTAGTTTAGTGATTTCAGAAGTTGTAATGGTTGTATTGTTTACAGTAATTATGTTTCTCCATAGAGCACTTTGAAACCTATTTCCAGATACCTGCATTTTGGTGGCCAACGGTCCACCAAGGCCCCTGCCTTTCACTGCACCCGATCGACACTGCACCCGACCCCGAGCTCCCCCTGCCTTTCACTGCCACCCGATCGATACTGCACCCGACCCCCAGAGCTCCCCCTGCCTTTCACTGTCCCCGACCCCAGAGCTTCCCCTGCCTTTCACTGCACCCGACCCCCAGAGCTCCCCCAGCGTTTCACTGCACCCAATCGACACTGCACCTGACTCCCCAGAGCTCCTCCTGCCTTTCACTGCACCCAATCGACACGGCACCCGACCCCCCAGAGCTCCCCCTGCCTTTCACTGCACCCGATCGACACTGCACCCGACCCCCAGAGCTCCCCCTGCCTTTCACTGCACCCAATAGACACTGCACCCGACCCCCAGAGCTCCCCCTGCAGGTGGTGGGCCCATGTTACCCCTTCGGGGTTTTGCCCGGCCAGGCCCCATTGGTCTCCACCAAGCACTCTCCTTCGAGCTCCTGCCCCAGGCCTGGCTCCAGGGCCAGGCCCTGGCCTCCCCAGTCCAGGCGGAGTAACACGCTCCTTGGTTTTATTCTTCATGGGGGTCAATATGAACCGCATGTAGTCTGGCTGCTCAGTCTTGCCTCTCTACCAGTGGCAATTGCCCCCGACAACATAGCTGCTAGGATCATAAATGCATGCAAACCCCTCCACCACGAATGATGGGTGGTATCAAAAGGAGCCAGTTGAGGTGGTTTGGGCATCTATCGAGGATGCCTCCTGGACGCCTCCCTGGGGAGGTGCTTTCGGAATGTACAACCGGGAGGAGACCCCAGGGCAGATAACATCTCTCAGCAGGCCTGGGAACGCCTTGGTATCCCCCTGGAGGAGCTGGAGGAGGTGGCTGGTGAGAGGGAGTCCGAGCATCCCTGCTTAGACTGCCGCTCCCGTGACCTGACCCCAGATAAGCGGCAGAAAATGGATGGATGGTTGGATGGATGCATGCATGCATGCATTTCCCCGTTGGGCGGCCTCAAGGGGTAACACTGCTGCCTTACACCTCAGGGGTTCATGGTTAAAGGTCCAGCCGTTGTCTGTGGGTATGGAGTTTAAATCCTCTCTCTGGTTTCACACAGGATTCTCCGGTCTCCTCCCATAGGCCAAAGACATGTGAGCTTAATTGGCCTGGCACCTCTAAACTGTCCATACAGTGTGTGTGCACTACAATGCACTAGCATGCAGTGTGGCCCTGGGATAAGCTCCAACCCCCAGCTACTCTATACTGGATACAGAGGATGGTTTTAACCATTGTCAATTACTGCATTACATGAGATTGGCTCTAATGCTATATTGCTAATGTACCACTAGAGGGGACTAGTGTTAAGGAAAAAAATACATCCACCCATGTAGAATTAGAATTTAGTGATCAGTGTCAACACACCACAGCACACAACAACCAAATGTGACCTCTGCATTTGATCCATATGTGACTTTCGTGACATAGCAGGGGGCAGCTAATTAAGCGCCCGGGGAGCAGTGCTTGGGGACGGTACCTTGCTCAGGGTACCTCAGTGGTGACTTGCTGGTGGGGGATTCGAACCTGCAATCTTTCAATTACAAGTGCGCTACCCTAATCATCAAGCCACCACTGCCCACAACTGCCCACTACTTGACGAGCCACACACACACACACACACACACACCATTCACGCACATTCATAACCAATGCTGGAGAAGTTATTCAGAAAAGTAATCTATTACAGACAGCTCAGGTCCAGAAAGTACAAATCCGGACATAAGTTTTCTTTCAACCAACCTATTGACAGTAAACGGGCACAGTCACAGAGTACTCAACTGCTTGGTTGAAACAAAACCTTGGTCTGAATTTGCACTTTCTGGACCTGACCTGTCTGTAATGGATTGCTTTTCTGAGTAACTTTCCCAGCACTGTTCATAACCAATGGACAATGTGGAAACTCCAGTTCACAGTAGCATGTTTTGGACTGTGGGAAGAACCTGGAGACCCCAGACGAAACCCCATGATAACAAAGCGAGAACAAGCAAGCTCCACACACGCAGAGCCGGGATAGGGAAGCAAACCCGGGTGTGAGGTAACCATGCTAAACACATCCCCACCATGCCACCTGAAAACGATACAGAACAACCCAATCACACTTGAAACAAAGATAAATGTAACTTCCTGTTTCCTATAGACAATCTTAAAGTCATTAAATGTACCATCCAAGATGTGGCTTTAAAAACAAAGAAGTGCATTCATTTAGATTGGATTTGGTGCCCTCTCACCTGATTTGTCTACTGCCTAAATACGTTTGTCATGTTACTGTTCATATATGCCATAAATTAGCTTTAACAAAACCAAACTCCTTCTCCTTTGTATCAACTATAACGACAGCATGTTTAAAATAACCTGCATAAGACCAGCCTGAAGAACTCAGCAAGAGAAGGACCTATATCATATATACTCAATGACCAAAAGCACTTAGAAGTAAAGGTCTGACTTAGACGTAATTTGGCACAAACGCAGACCAGCGATGGGTATGTAAATCATTCGATTTGCAAGGAGCTGGCACGTCTAGTGACCAGACACAGAGGATGCCTCATAGACGCATTAGACAGCATTACCAGCACTTGATAGAGTTTGATAGGAGTCACATTCTGGGTTTGCATGAGGCCAGGTGATCGTATCGTGCAATTGCCTGGCATCTGGGGTCTGCCGATGTCATAGTCACCCTGATGTTGGAAGCAATGGGCACATGAGGGCACCCACACACATTGTAATGATTACAGTCACTCAAGACAGACCACACCAAGGGAGGACTGTCGTATTGTGCACCAAGCATTACAGAACCCTATGACAACTGCACCTGCCGTCCAGACTCTCTACAACACTCCGTGTCATCACACACCGCGACTCATCAGCCGGACTATGGGTTCACCATCCCATTTGTAGGCTGCCATTAACACCAGCGCTGAGATGGTAGCATTTGGAGTGGAGAGGATATAACGGCTGTACGACTCCCTTTTGCACTGTATTGCCGCATGTATCCAGGCCCGGGGGGGGGGGGGGGGGGGGGCTACATCCTACTGACATGGGACCAGCATGCCCATACTGCTAACTCTGTTTGATCTGATATTATAATCACTGTGATACAGTCACATGACCTTTCATCACACGCAGCTTCATTTCATTTCCACTCCATCTGGCTGCTTAACTTTTTCTGTCACTGAGTGTATATTATTACTCGAAATCTTTCTCTAACCCCGCCTCCTGTGTCACGACATTGATCAACCTGCTGTGAGACTGCATGCAAAAAATGACGGAACATTCACCCTGAGGATGCGGTTGAAGTCCTCCTTGTCCACGCGCAGGAACTGACAGTCATCCTCGCGCAGCACGATGGAGGCGGCCCGCGGGGCGTCGTTCACCAGGGCCAGCTTCCCGAAGTCGTCGCCCTCGTGCAGCGTGCACACGACGCCCTGGATGACAAGGCGATGGTTCCACTATGAGACCTCAGGTGCATCAACAAAGCCTGTAAGCATTTAGCGTGATTACCAGGCACAGACTGTACGTGGGATTAGAGAATGAAATAAAAGATCTATATTACCTTGCCATATATCACCACATTGACTGATCCCTTCAGAATGATGTACCATGACGTGCCTTCTTCTCCTTGATTAAACACTGCTCAGGAGAAAATTAACACACTTATGAGGGTAACCAATGTCAGGCTACCATACACAGCCAGTCACAGTGGGGCTGGCAGACAGTATAGAGTAATTTTGGCAACATTAGTTTCCACTGGCCTACTTCAAATCACATCAGAAACAGCATCGGAAACATAACATGAGTCACGCGATGAGCGAGGAAGGCGTTCACTCACACACTGTCCCGGCTTTAGCGTGGGCCTCGAAGATGAGAACACCGGCCAGTTCACGTTTCACCTGTGTCAGACAGAGAACGCCTGTGAGCTTCACCGTGAGGCTGCAACGTGGGGAAGGAGACCTGGAGCAATCGCGGTGGAGCTGGCACTCACGGATGTGGAAAGGTGCGACAAGGCTTTTATATGGAGAAGCTCTTCGTAAATAATTTCCAAATCATCCACTGTTCGCTGACCTGGCCTGCAGTGGAAATGTGGAAAAAAGTGAGATCAGTTAAAAAAAAACCTTGAAAAAAAATTGCAGTGATTTGTGTGATTTTTGTTTAATTGTTCACAGTAAACATAAGAATCTTAACGGTTATGTTGACCTCCTAACAGAAGAGGGCGATATTTCTGGCTTATACTCACACTTTCCTCAGGATCATGCGCATATGGGCATCGGGGCCTAACCGGGACAGCAGCAGCAGGGTGTCCTGCAGCTCCTCCTCACTCTCCTTCTTCTCCTCCTCACTGGGAGGCGGCACGTCCTCTTGCTCGTCGTCCAGGAAGCGGTAGAACAGGTACTTATCCTGGAAGTCGATCTCCTGGTCAACTGGAACCCAAGTAAATACAGAGCACTTGGAACCAGTACCAGCTTGGTGCGGCCAAGAGCACAAGCCAGTATTTATTTCTCAAGTTCAGTTTCACACTAACTGAAGTGATAAGTATGATTATGACACATCTCTGACCACATGGAGACTTGGAAACAGGACTGAGAAATGCTTCCCTGCACAGGACGTCCCATGCAGGATAACATCCCCGGATTGAGTGAGGGACTCACCGTGGTTCAGCATGCCCTCCTCCAGCAGCGCCTGCCACATGCCCACAGCCTGTGGCCGCGAGTGGATGCAGGAGCTCTGCTGAGCCAGCCAGTCGACTAGCTCTGTGCCTACACAGCACTGCCTGCACAGGACAAAGATACTTACTGCAATGTGAGGATACACATGCTCACACACACAGCACTGCCTGCAGGGACAGTGATACACACTGCAACATCCGTACACACACACTCACAAACACATAGCACTGCCTGCAGGGACAGTGATACACACTGCAACATCCGTACACACACACACACACACACTCACAAACACACAGCACTGCCTGCAGGGACAGTGATATGCACTGCAACATCCGCACACACACACTCACAAACACACAGCACTGCCTGCAGGGACAGTGATACACACTGCAACATCCGTACACACACACACACACACACACTCACAAACACACAGCATTGCCTGCAGGGACAGTGATATGCACTGCAGTATCAGTAAACACATACTCACAAACACGCAGCACTGCCTGCAGGGACAGAGATAAGCAATGCAACGTCTGTACACACACACACACAAACACGCAACATTGCCTGAAGGGACAGAGATATGCACTGCAGTGTCAGTAAACACACACTCACAAACACGCAGCACTGCCGGCAGGGGCAGAGATATGCATTGCAGCATCAGGACACACACACATACACACACACACACACACACACACAGCACTGCCTGCAGGGGCAGAGATATGCATTGCAGCATCAGGACACACACACACACACACAGCAATACCTGCAGGCCACATAATGACATCACTCCACAAATGCCATACATGTGTGTTTTTTTGCAGGGGGGAGTAACATGACCACGGCTTGTGGACTGATTAGAGCTGCCAATCTCTATCCTGACACACCCACTAGGGCATCCTTATTGTTCACATGTCCACGCTGTCGTCTTGCTCCCCTTTTCTGTCCAGTTCCTGTTGCGCCGAAAAGGAAACTAGAGTAAAAGCCTCCATTCCCTGCCTGTCCGCCATGCATGCACTACTGCTGTCTAATGGCCACGTGACCTTTAAGGCCTTGTCGGTGTTTCTACCCCCAACGTGAAGTACTGTAGGCAGAACAGCGTCTCATGCCACTTTCTGTGGTCATGTGACATAAAAAAAACCAATCATCCGGTTGGTGACCAGATCCAAATTACAAGGGAATTGCAGGAGGAGGCAGGGGGATGTTGTTAACGCCCTCTGGGTTTAGTGAGCATGCAAGCTAAGTACACTGCTCCCATTCTCTGTTGTTGTGTGCAGGGTGAACTTTCTAAGAAATCTCATTATAGTGGAGCAGACATGTTTGTCCCCCAAAGCAACCGCACCCTCCCCCATGTCCCACATGACACAGTGTGTCGGCCGCCCAGTGCGCTGCCACCGCGGCCCATGCTACCGACACCCACCGGTATGTCTTCAGGTGAAACTTCCTGTCCCTGATCATGTGGGGCGCCCTGGCCAGGATGCAGTGCCGTACAACCTTGCCTGCTCTCCGGATCCTTTCTGAGGGAACCTGTCGTGAGACCGGAAGGGCAAGGGGGGGGCGGGCTGTGATTTAGCAGCGAGCAGCACCAGCGAGCCGCTCATAGGAGCGGACATTGACAGGACAGGGGCGAAAGCGTCAGTCACAGCCGATATCTGTACCAGCATGAGAGATTTAGGGCGGGGTTTGGGCTGACAGCCAATGAGTGGTGTCTGAAAAATAGAATGGCGAGATGACACTGAAAATGCAAGAAAAAATGCACTACAGGGAACAAAAGATGAAGTCAAAATGCGGTGTGGCATGACGACAGCTCGCTTTCTGCTTATCTGGCTGCATGAAGTAAGGCGTTCCACTAGCATCTGCACCTGATTAATAAATTCTTAACACAGCTGAAATCTTCCTGCATGACTGTTATCAAATACAGTAAAAATTAAGTAAAAATGAAAATATATTTCTATTTACTAACCTACCCAACCTACAATTACTGTTATGCAAAATGCAGTACTAGCTCAGTGAGGAGCTCATTAATCTAACCTTAATAAGGTCCATCGTATCTTACATTTACACCCATTAGCTATAATATTAAAACCACTAACAGGTGAAGTGAATAACATTGACTATTGATTCTTACAATGGCACCTGTCAAGGATGTCATTATGCACAATATGGAGAAAAGTATTGGGACACCTGGCCATTACACCCACAGGAACCTTAATGACACCCCATTCTAAATCCATAGGCATCAATATGGAGTTGGTCCCTCCTTTACAGCTATAACAGCTGCCACTCTTAGAAGGCTTTCCACAAATTTTTGGAGTGTGTCTACCGGAATTTTTGCACAATCATCCAGAAGAGCATCTGTAAGTGTGGACGTGAAGGCCTGGCTCACAATCTCTGTTCTAGTTCATCCCAAAGGTGTTCAGTGGGGTTGAGGTCAGGGCTTTGTGCGGCCAGTCAAGTTCTTCCACACCAAACTCACCCAACCATGTCTTTATGGACCTTGCTATGTGCACTGGGGCACAGTCATGCTGGAACAGAAAAGGACCTTCCCAAAATTGTTCCCAGAAAGTTGGAAGCAGAAGTTTGTTCAATATGTCTTGATATGCTGAAGCATTAAGAATTCCTTTCACTGGAACTAAGCGGCCTAGACCAACCCCTGAAAAACACCCCCATACCATTATCCCTCCTCCACCAAACTTTACAATGGGCACCATCAGATTGTAAGACAGAGAAATGTGACTCGTTAGTCCACAGGATATATTTCCTCTGCTCCAGAGCCCAGTGGTGGCGTGCTTTACACCACTCCATCTAATGCTTGGCATTGCCCATTGGTGATGTGACACTTGCATGCAGCTGCTCGGCCATGGAAGCCCATTCCATGAAGCTCCTGTCAGTTTTTGTGCTGGAGTTAAAGCCAGAGGAAGTTCGTAACTCTGCATTATAGGATCAATAGAGCACTGCCAGCTTGTATGTACTGTGTACCTCAGCGCTCGGTGACCCCGCTCTGTCACTTTACGTGGTCTGCCACTTCATGGCTGAGTTTCTGTTGTTCCTAAATGCTTCCACTTTGCAATAATACCACTTACAGTGGATTGTGGAATATCTAGCAGTAATATGCTTGAATTCACTGAGCTCTAAAGAACAACCCATTCTTTCACAAATGTTTGTAAACTTGACTGCATGGCTAGGTGCTTGATTTTAAACACCTGTGGCAATGGATCTGAATGAAACCTGAATTCAGTGATTACGAGGTGTGTCCCAATACTTTGTCCATATAGTAAATATTAGGCAAGTGAATAGCCAGTTCTTGGAGTTGATGTGTTGGAAGCAGGAAAAATGGGCAAGCATAAATTATTATGGCTAGATGACTGGGTCAGATCATCTCCAAAATGGCAGGTCTTGTGGACTGTTCCCAGTATGCAGTGGTCAGTAACTACCAAAAGTGGATGAAGAAAAGACAACTGATGAAACGGTGATGAGTGCCCAAGGTTCACATATGTGCACGGGCAGCGAAGGCTAGACCATCTAGTCCAATCCCACAGGAGAGCTACTATACTATACTATCATAAAAGGTGTCAGAACGCACAGTTCACTGCAGTTTGCTGTCCATGGGGCAGTGTAGCCACAGACTGGTCAGAGTGCCCATGGTGACCCCTATCCACCGGCGAAAGTGCCTACAGTGGGCCTGTGAGTGTCAGAACTGGACCATGGAGCAATGGAAGAAGGTGGCTTGGTCTGATGAATCACGTTTTCTGTTACGCAATGTGGATGACTGGGTGTGTGTTCATCATTGACCTGGGGGAGATTCAGCACCAGGATGCACTATGGGAAGAAGACAAGCCGGCGGAGGCCGTGTGAAGCTCTGGGCAATGTTCTGCTGGGAAACACTGGGTCCTGGCATTCATGTGAATGTTACTTTGACATGTATCACCTACTTAAACATACACATACAAAGTACACCCTTTTATGGCTATAGTATTCCATGATGACAGTGGCCATTTTCAACGTGATAATGTGCCCTGCCCCACTGCAAGAATCATTCAGGAATGGTCTGTTTTTATATATATTTAGTGTGTGTGTGTGTGTGTGTACAGTGGTACCTCGGTTCTCGAACTCACTAAAACTCAAATTTCTTGAAAGTCGAACAAACCAGTTTGACCTAGAACTCGATCTGAATATCAGCAGTCGAACCATGAACACTCATCTAATATAAATTGTACGACCCAGGAAATGAGTCATACTACAATGCAATTCTTACTTGAATGCCTTCTTCACAGACTGGACGATTAACCAAATAAAGCAGCGCAACATTACAGTAACTAACAATAAATAAACCACTAACTTACGTGTATATTAGAGCATTTATGTAATTTATTTTAACTTTATTTTACCAGGTAAATTAACTGAAAACCAGTTCTCACTGCTTTATGTGATATTCGGGAGAAATAGCAGATTATGCATCGGAACTGCCTGTGATACAAACGTCATGCGTGTAACTAAACTCTTCAGCCAATAAGGGCAAAGGTGTGTCGTCACGGAGGCGATTCCAGTTTGTGCGGCCGGGTGAGAGGTCGCAATGCATCTAACCGTAATGCATTTTGTCAGGATCAGAATGCATTGCTTTAAGCCAGCGCTGTAAGCAAGTCGAACGCACCCAATGACCGGACTGGGGAAACAAACTGAAACGCGGACTTAATACAGAGGACTAATGACAGCTGATCACATGGGGATCCCACACGAGGTTAACGAGGGGGCGTGGCACAATCGGGGAGCGGACAATCGGGGCAGGACAGGGGTAATGTTGGGATAAGATTAGGTGTAATTTTGGTGGGCCGGGAACCAGTTAATTGGTTTTCCATTATTTCTTATGGGAAAAATACGATCAGAACTTTTTAGGATTCGATCCGGAGTCCGGAACGGATTAAGTTCGAGAACCGAGGTACCACTGTGTATGTGCGTGTGTGTGTGTGTGTGTGTGTGTGTGTGTGTGTGTGTGTGTGTGTGTATATATATATATACATATATATATATATAAAAAAATATAACGGAGTTTATACAATATGGATGATGGGTCTATGATGGCTATACACACACACACACACACACAGTAATACCACTATGTTCGAAAAAATGACGTCATATAACCAAGACAAAAAGGCAGATAAAACAACTGGGGACATTTCCTACAAACCTGCAGGGGGCGCTGTGTTTAGCCTGTTGCTCTCCTATGAACACGCATCTCATTTTTTGGGTTTCGGTTGGTTGTGTTTCACATCCATTGTCTGATAGTTAATTACACATTATATCCACCCTGTTACTGCCCAGCCAGCTGTGCTGCCTGGCACAGAGGTTAGAGAAGCACTTATGTGGTAATAAGACATCCCAGGGGGTGCTCCAGGGGGTGCTCCGAATGCGGCGATAAGCGACAGTAAGTGGCTGGACGGGATGTTCAGGGCAATTTTACAGAGGAACAGACTGAACTGGAAGTATAGAGTGAGGTTACTGTGATTTCTGTGCACCCTGCAGTCCTGGCGAAGATAAAGGGCCACAAAACATCTCAGCCATCTTTTGGGAATTACGACGGGCCCACATTAGATGTGTAATCAGGAGCTGTACAATCACTAATGTGGCAATAAACAGCAGAGCGATTCTGTCTGCCTGTAATAAGACCACTCTTCTGCATTATCCAAAAGCATTTCTGCCAGACTCGCAGTCCACTCCCATTTCATTTTGGTGTTTCATTCAAGACGCAGCATACCGCTGCAAATTGAGCGCTTTCCTGTCCAAAGCCAGCGCCACCGCCCTCTGTAGACAAACATTTCATCCAGGACTTGACTTGTCTTGGTGCCACCTCCTTAAACAATGCACATCCCAGGATGTGTGTTTACCTGTTCTTTTTTTTTTAATCTCTGGGAGCAGTGCCAGGTGGGACTGTCCCTGGAAGGGTGAGCGGGAAGCGCCCGCTCCTGTATATTTAGCCGTCCTGTTCCCTCGCCCTCGTAACTGCGGAAGTCTGAGCCTAAAGTAGACACTGCTGCATCAGTCCTCACGTAAGCAGCAGATAAACACGTATAGTCTTTCGCCGCTCTGACGTCCTTCAGAACATCCTGAAGCGCAGAGGCTAATCGTTAAGAGCCTGGTGACAATTAGCCAGCGTCTTGCGTTTAGGATCAGAGGCTCGGCGCTGTAGCCTTGAGGGTGAATCCCACCCCAGGGCAGCTTGTTGGGTGGACTTTCACAGCCCAAAGTCATGCAGTTAAGTCAACAGGCATCTCTAAAGTGCCGTGTGTATGTGCCCTGCAATGGACTGGCATCCCGGCCAAGGTCCTACCCAACACATACAAACCCTGCCCATGGTAAGAGTTTCCGCTGTTATTTTTTCATTTCCACTTGTAAATCATAACAAAATCCTGCATATTCGTAAATTCATAGTTATTTTATCTCTGAGACTTTTGTTAAGGCTGATAGACAGGAAGCCCAAAACACTCATTATATCCACTTTTTAAGTCATGACGTTTGAATCATATGACAACACTTTTGCCATGACTAACTTGGGTACAAGCCAATATGGTGCAGTGTCTCTACTGCTTTTCATGCAATGAGAAAGAGAAGAGGAAGTAGCTATGTAAACTAAACTAAAATTCACAGCTCAGTACAAACCATGGTTTTGGATTCATACTTCATTGCAATTTTGGTATAGCAGGGAAAACAGAATTTGTTCTGAGATTGTATATTATTAAAACTGAATAATAAGACACCCTTATTTGCACGTTGTGAAAAATAGTAAAAGTTTGAAAATTGAATGTATAACTTCAAAAATTTTTTAATGAACTAAATCACATGTTTTCTGCTACCAAGTATGGTTGCCTTTCCTGAAATGCCACGGAGAGACAAACTGTTCCTGCCTTGTTCCCTTCTTTCCCACACGAATGATGTTCTCTCAGGTGAGTTAACTCATTGGATGTGTTTTCAGCAACATATTCAAGTTCAATATAACAGAGCTGACAGACAGTCTTGATTTCATCACCTACCTTGTTAAGGTTGCTAGACAGGGAGCCCAATGCACTCTTGCTCATGTTTTCTTTGTCCGGCATTCCTGGGAAAACAAAAAAATGAGAATGTTTCTATGGGACATCCAGCAAAAATGCAGCACCTCCCAGAGCACGAGACATACAGAACCAGCTACCCCAACTGCTAATTTTAAGACAGATATTTTATGAGTATGGCACAAGATTACCCTGTGATATCCAATGTCTGTAAATCCTCTGGATCACAGGGTAGAATTGCCAGATGATAAGGGAACAAGTCTTGATGTCCATCTCATTCTCCCTGTGTTATAACCACCAGGGCCACCGATGCTGGACGCACACCATTGCAAACCATGCACCATCATTTCTCAGATGGAAAAGTCTGCGGTGTTTAGGTTGGTGCACTTTTGCCAAGTTGTCTTGCTTACATAAACTCACATGATGGGCAGATTTCTACTTCGGGACATTCGATTCATCTGGCATCAGCTTCTCTCCCTCACCCCGCTGTTTAGGTAATACCCCACCGTGGCACAGGGACGACACAGCTCTGAGTTCATTACCTACTGGGGAAGTACTCCTTATTTTTAGAAGTGACTTACACTTTGTGCTACTCATCTCCTGCTCCAACTATAAAACATAGTCAAATATATTCAGTCTCTCGTAACCTCTTGGTGTGGTGATGGCCCACTGGGTACCTGAACCCCTCCCAGCTGTGTGTGTGTGGAGTTTGCATGTTCTCACCATGTCGTGTAGGTACTCCAGCTTCCTCTCACTGTCCAAACACGTGCAGTTAGGTGAACTGGTACCCTTACACTGCCCACAATGGAAACACCTAGCATTTTTGGCATTGCCCTTTAAAAATTACTACTTGAATATTGGCAGTAATGTTTATAAACGATCAAAGAATGTTACAAATATCGTACACTGGATGATTAAATAAGTAACTGGAGCAACAGTTGAATAAAGTTCTGCAGTCTCTAAAAATTGGAAGTGTTTCTACAATTTTGGCCACTAGTGTAACTGCATGTCTTTGGACTTCAGGCGGAAACCTGCTAACACAGAGAGAACAGGCCAAACCCACACAGAGTGGAGGTGAGATTCCAGCCCCCAACAGTGACTCAACAGCGCTGCCCACTGAGCCACCATGCCACCATTTAGTCTTTTTCAGCACTTTATCAAAGATGAGCTAATCCAGAAGACTTTTCAGGGATGCTGCTGAAGTAGCCAGTACTTACTGTCATTGTTGAGTCCACTTTCCATAGCACCGTAGGGGGGGGCCAGGAGTCCAGCCATGCACTGCCGGTATTTCTGCAAAAAAAAAAAAAAAACAGAACAGAATAGCATCTGCAACTTCAAGAAGGTATTTCTCCTCATATTCCAATGGTCAGAGAGCTGAAAGAGACTGTTCAGGTTATACCTGTGGGTGATGTAGCGGTAATAAGGATTTGATCTTTTAAGCCGAAGGACTTAAAGTGTTGCAGTAAAAACACTCAGGTGGATAAATGAGTTTAAAGATGCTTGTAGAACAGAATAAAGGCATTAGCTGAAAAAACAAATGGAAATGACATATTGTCTAGCTAGTAAATGTCAGACACATCAAATATCCTCCATGGACATCCAGTGCCGTTTATTGTGCTGCAAAGGAAATAGAAGAGCTGTTTCTCAGGGCCCTATTTTTAGACTCACAGGTTTGTACCTCACATCTATTTTAGGCACGTTCACCAGTACACTTTATCACTCTCTTTGCACCTTTACATGTTTTGCATCACAAATTGATGGTGAAACACGTAGGCTATTAACCTTGTAAAAATGCACGCTTGTTTTCTGGTTTAATTTTGAAATAAACACAATTCATTTGAATTAATTATCTGCCAAGAAAGCTGTTCATTTAATAAAACTGCACATATGTTCTCTCTTAACCGGAGGACTGTGGTTTACGGATTCATTGACTGTGAAAATAATGGTTTGGTTAAGGAATAATGCTGCCCAACTCACGTCATCCTCACATAACAGCACTCTGTACGTGCATCTTCAGTCAAATCTGTCAAGAGCATGAAGTCTGTACTCCAGTGTGCATCTGTCCATAGATTTTACAAGTTCCTGGTGGGATATACTCCAGCAGCATGTCCGCCAAACAATAATGCATGTCTATCAGAAGAAGAATTATTCATATTTACGGAAATAATGACGGATTCTGACATTTTTCGGTCTCTAATCCTATCATGGCTTAGAGTGTACATATTACATTGTTTAAATGGATTTGTGGGAGAGCCCTCAATATATAGTAATTGTGGATTTGAAGCAAATACAGGAAATTAAAATTACCTCTTCTATTTTGGAGAATGAAGCCGGGTTACCAGACATTAAACTCCGTAAAACGATAAATCCTTCTCACTTAATGCAAGAATCCACAAGAAAAAAATCCAAGGACACTTTAATGCCTGGGCTTACTGAGGCCAAGGACCAAGGACTGTTTAACAGACTCTAAAAACTTCTGTTTAACAAGCAAGCAAGCAAATATATGTGGGTGCGTGTGTGTCCCTCCTGGTATTCAGCAGCAGCCTAATGGGTGTTTACCGATTATTATAAAATTATAATCGCGCTCATTGATTTATTACTGTGATTCGCCTGGGCGATTCAGATTCAAGTATTCGATAGTGATGTAATATAATATGCAACAACGCATAGTTCACTGCAGAAACAGTTAACAGTGAGATGTCGGTAGTTATTACTGTATATGACCTGAAAAAGATAACATAATACATACAAGTACAGTCACCGAACATATGTAGACCAATTATATCAATGGTTGAAAATTATTTCGGTAAAATCTAATTAACTGTGAACACTGTCATCATTTCTGAAAATAAGTCAGACAGATGTTACTTATTTTGTTAAGCTATAATATCCAAGGAAATGTCTAGGGATGTATAGAGAAAGGCACGCAAATGCTTTCAAAACAGTTAGACGCAAAAAACAAACGAAAAAAATCACAGCCCATTTAAGACGACAAATAAACACCGCAAATGTTTTGTAGTTCGCGGGCTTACCCCAAATAATATGCATTGCAGTTAGGCTATATTTCACAAACATTTTATTACACCACTAAGCATCACATAATGTTAAACAAGCGCGTTCTTCCAAACGCCCAGTGGAATTTCACAACACGCACAAGAAGACACATCCTCAAATGGACATTTCAATACCTCTCCGAATTAAACCACTTACATCGGGCGACGTCGCCACTGCTTCACCTAAACTGTTCTCAAACTTCCACAGTGGGACTTACCGATTCGATGTTATGCTGACAAATGGGCTAGCAACTGACGTATGGTGTCGATCAAGGTCCAAGTAAATAATAATTCACAGTAAATGCATGAAACAGAAAGCCGCCTCTGCTTCACCGTTATTAAAGCCGGTGCTCGAACACGCCTTCGTCGCAATTCTTTCCTCTCGCTTCTCCAACTTTTCCCTCCGGTACAATCAGTACGGCAGGACAGAGCCTAAAGACACGGATACATCTAGCGCCCCATAGGTGACCGCTGTGTCGCTGCCCACCCGAAATCACTTTCCCTCTGACAAGTGCGAGGTTGGTGGCAGCGCGAGGACAGCAGAATAGAGTTACATTAATTATTTATTGTAAGTGGTGTTTATACCAAACTCCCATTTGTGCACAAATCCTAAAGTCACGGTATATTATAATAGAAATCCTTTGAGGCTTACGCCTTTTTGAGCCTTTTACTGCAAGATTAACTACAAGCATAACTGATAACATTATATCGTACGACATTTAAATGTATGAAATAATGATGCGGGTTGTGATTTATGAGTAATATGCTGTAAATTCAAATAAGTGTTTTATTTCCGTCTTAGTGGTTGTCAGCAGAAAGTGGGCTCATTTAATATGAATACATTTGCGTCGTTACATCCTTTTTAGACGTTTATTTCAATTGATAAATTTTAAAATTTGCTAAAAGCATAATTTGAAACGAGATTACTGTTATAATAAAAAGAAAACACTACATTTCTAATGAAAAACCTAAAAGCATTATCTATCCAAAACAAAAAAAATCCAAATCATTAGTGTTTAAAACATTAACAAATATCTTTTCAAAATGCGTCTTTTTGTATATTTGTATGCGCAATATTCAAAATGTTGAAGAAGGGCAGAAGTACATAAATGTACCACCATTCATTTCACCATTGCCCATGGCCAATCAGAAGCAAGCTAACAAATGACACCTCTGACATTAAGAATGATTGTTCCCTCTTCTAGTGGTCAGTTCAGTCCAAACACAATCCACTATGGGCTTTGCCATTTGAGCATTTAAAACCACAGCACTCTGTTTGACAAGCAAGCAAGCTGCTCACTGGAGACAGAACTTGGGACCACATTCATGAGGAGGCACTGCGCGCTGAATCTTTAACAAGCTACAAAATATATCGGGCCCTCGCTGTTCTTCTGTAATGTCTCATGGGGTTCACTATTCTGCAGTGTAACGGTATTTCATGAAACAAAGTAGTCAGGGGCAGATGCGGAATAAGCAGGCAGGTTACATTAACACGCGCAGGTGGTCATAACAGCATTAATTCTTCATATTTCTAGAAGTTCCTGCAAGGGTTTATTCTGTCTTACTATTAACTTTATGGCACTATTAAGCATCAATATGTTCAACCATATAACTCTATCATGGAAATATATTATATTTTCAAGTCATATATATGAAATGCACTACCAAACACTACAGTGAGAAGAAACGTGATCTATTATTTTAATTGAAGGAAGTGCAGTGTTTTTTTCTAAGCCGTAGGGGCATTGTGGGTCTTGACCATCTGACAGTAAACACTAGGAGACTGAGAGCGCCTGCGGCCATCTGTGTCTGACCTTGACGATGATGTAATGTGTCCTTCTAATTTGTTATCGTTTCATCTGATTAGATGTCCTGCTTGGAAAGGCCAAGGGAGGGGCAGGAGATTAGAGGTTGAAAACCGATCTTAAGATACGTAAAGTTTTTAAGAGAGGCTGAAAGCAACGTGTTAGCATAAAAACATGCCATCTCATAACCTAGGGAGTGACTCGGGGTTCGTGATGTCTGAAGGCACCGAGAGCCGCAGCACAACATCAATCTGAAAATCAACAATACATTTCTGGGTACTGACCCTATATGCTAAAATGTAACTCATGAAAACATTTGTTTTGGTTTGGGAAGAACAGTTAATTACATTCTAAATGGTCTCGGATTATTGGTGCTGAGTTTGTGCTAAATAAGAATATGTAGCACTCAGAGATACATCTTTTACCGACAGGTGAAACACATAAAAATGTCAAGGCATGTCAGACTATGTCAAAAGTGGCTGACAGACCTCAGGCCCCAGAGGGTTAATTGGGAAATAACTTTGAAACCATGACAGTGGTAGATTCTGATTATTCTGCACTTTCAGAGAAAGCCAATTTGGATCTAGCTGCTCTCTCCAAATGCCAGCTCCTGTTAATCAGCCTTCCCCGCTGACACTGCATGGACACCGTCTGCCATTACCGACGGCCAAAGCATATATCCAGCACATGAACTAACACTGGGAATGACTCGATGCAATCAAAAATTGAATGGTGGACAGGAGATAATGATTTTAATCCCATGTGGGATTCAGAATAGAATTAATGTATGAAAACAACATTATTTCATTTATGGCTTGCTTTCCACAGTATACTCCAGAATTAAAACAAGACCTGCTCACTGGCTGTCGTTCAGCAGTGGTGCCCTTTTCTGTGCCTGCGCAGCCTCCAGCACTGGCAACCTTTGTCAGTACAACTGAATGCAGCTGAATGTGGCAGCTACGCTTAGCTGCAGAACGAAACATCAGGCGAGACGCAGCCAAAGATGATCCAGGCCACTATTTTGGCTCAAGTGTTTGGAATAAAGTGGCAACAGCAACTTCCTGTTTTAGCAGCGACGACACTGCAGCTCTCTGTTATACAAGCATCTTTATTACACTGTCCTTTTTCATTTGTTTTCCCTTAACCTCAGTGAACCTGCATATGCTACAAAATATACTGAGAGCTCCCTGTTTTCTACCCAGAATCATATAGCCAGCAAGTATGCATATGAGTGTCTATAAAACCACTGCCTAGCGACTATATAATGCAATCACTGAACATTATACATTATGTAGGTTCAGCAAGATGTTTTTAAATTCAGATGCTCATAGCTGACCAAACCTTATGTTAAATAAGAAGCAGGCGCACTGAATTGAATGTGCAGTGAATAAATAATTCCTCAGCAATGAATAACATACACAAACCCACAGACTTTTGGGTAACCCAGTTCTTTCTCAGTCATTTTGAGGGAGGCTCCTCTCAGCCAGGGGCTCCCAGCATGTTTTGAGATTGTCTGTCTGCCCAGACTGGGCACAGAGACAAAACCCAGTCGGGGGTGGGGGGGGGGTTGGGGCCACAAAAACAATCTCCATTTCCGCAGATTTGCATTCACAACCTGGTCAAAGCCAGCACTTTCTGCTGTACCTTTGAACAAAGTACCCAGCTTTAAAAATATATTACAGCATAAATAAAATGGATTGACACAGTGTGTTGGTGGGTAGTACTGTTGCTTGTGATGGACTGGCATCCCGTCCTGCATGTCCCCTGCCCTGTGCCCTGCGATGGACTGGCATCCCGTCCAGGGCGTCCCCTGCCCTGTGCCCTTGATGGACTGGCATCCCATCCAGGGCGTCCCCTGCCCTGTGCCCTTGATGGACTGGCATCCCATGCACAGTGTCCCCTGCCCTGTGCCCTTGATTGACTGGCATCCCGTCCAGGGGGTCCCCTGCCCTGTGCCCTTGATGGACTGGCATCCCAGGCACAGTGTCCCCTGCCCTATGCCCTGTGATGGACTGGCATCCCGTCCAGGGCGTCCCTTGCCCTGTGCCCTTGATGGACTGGCATCCCGTCCAGGGCGTCCCCTGCCCTGTGCCCTTGATGGACTGGCATCCCGTCCAGGGCGTCCCCTGCCCTGTGCCCTTGATGGACTGGCATCCCCTGACTTGCAGCCTATGCCCCCTAGGGTGGACATTTGGCTCCCTGCGAATTTGCAATCATTAAACAGTTACTAAATATAGATAAATTAAGAGAAAAAAAAGATAAAACTTGTAATACCAATAATAATACTACCATAACAATACAAATAATACTACCAAATATTTCATTGTTTTGAATAGATGAATTTGCAAAGAGCCAACATAAGTCCTAAAACATTATCTTTCTATTTGTAAGTAATTATAGATTTTTTAACTCTGGTCAAACATATCACCAACACCCAGGTCTGTATCACCAATTCTCAGTGTGTGTGACCAGTCCCAGTTTACACAAGACTTTGTGTTAAAAGTGCTCCATTATTTATGTATTTTCCACCTGTAAGTATGACCTATCAACACGATAACAGCGTTATTAAAACAAGTTGTCAGTTGGCTTTTTTTTTTTTTGACAGTTATCGGTTTTTTCGGCACGTGTTATGTTTTCTGTGCTTGAGCTCAGTGCAGAGCTGGCGAGAGCTGATAACATCATTTACATACGGGAAAAGGCAGCTTGACAGCTGTTTGCCTTAGAAGCCCCTTTAGGTCCTGTCGGCCTCATTCTGGTACACCGCCTCTCCTGGAACCACATGGAGACAATGGCAAGTGCCCCCATGTGGAGGGATGGTGCAAAGACACGATGGCTGGACACTAATGAGCTGATAAGGGTTCTGGCACAAAGCTTTTGTTAAGAATTAAAGCGGTTGTTTTAAGTAAACAACTTTCAGCAGCTTATCCAGTACGGGGCCTGGCGCCTATCCCAGACAGCACAAACACAGAGAAACGTGCTGGACAGGATATCAGTCCACTGCAGGGGACACACATGCACAAAGTCACATGACATTAGCAATTTTTTGAGACACTATCTGTGTGTCTTTGAACTAGGGTTGGAAACCTGTGCAATGCAGGGAGATCATGCAAATACCATAGACAAACAAAGGGGGGGGGGTTCAAACCCTCGGCCCTGGAGGGGGGAGGTGACAGCACTGCCCAACAAGCTACTGAGTCACCCCCATTACATGCGTTTCTTATTATATGTATCAATAATTATTATCAATTCAAGTACAAGTACTTTAATAAAAAGTATCAGTGCAGTAAGTACTAGACAGTACCAGCATTGTGTCATGGTTACATAGGGCTCTGTTTTGGGAGCTTCTTCATCTACCCGCCGTGTCTTATCCTTTCCCACAATCCTGTGGAGGCGAGTTTCCCAAAGGCATCAACATGCTTAAACCGAGCTGGCATTGTTAAAACCAGCAGGAACTTGGCCATATTACATTCAGTCTGGTTTCTAATAGTTTGAATAATTCTTACAAAGCGAGGGATAATATGAAACTCTCACAGGACGCAGAGAACATTAAACAGATGGCGCCCGCATGCGAGATCACAACACGAGCTGTCAGTATCAGTGCCCAGCCAGTGAAAGTGCACGGCTGTGTTAGAGCCTGTGAGAAACTGTGAGTGACACTCCTCTCACTCTCAAGCTGCAGATATCATAGTAACAAGACTTTCGCATTTAAAGAAGCACTGCAGGGAACAACACTACAATGGTGAATCATTTGGTGAATAATACATACAAGTCTCACTGTTTCCTCACACTGAGATACATGCCACACACTCTGCATTGGGCATATAAACCTTCTTAAACTGAGTTATGAAAGCACCCAGCACTCAGGGTTGAATGTCAATTAATAAAAGTTAGAGCAGCTGAGAGCAAGGTCAGGAACTGTGATTCAACCCCGTCGCACAAGTATACAACTCAAACCCTTCCAGTAAACTCGCGATTCAGCACTGTTGGAGAAACCTCAACTCAACCCTATACCACATTAGAGCAATGTTTAAAAACACCAGGCTGAGTAGAAGGATGCTTAGCATGATCTGGCTACCCCATTTGGCTTCCAACCTGGACCCAGCCTGAACACAACCTGAACTCAGCCTGAACCCAGCCTGGACCCAACATGAACCCAACCTGGACTCAGCCTGGACACAACCTGAACTCAGCCTGAACCCAGCCTGGACCCAACATGAATCCAACCTGAACCCAGCCTGGACCCAACCTTAACCCAACTTGGACTCAGCCTGAACACAAACAAAACTCAGCCTGAACACAACCTGAACTCAGCCTGAACCCAGCCTGGACCCAACATGAACCCAACCTGGACTCAGCCTGGACACAACCTGAACCCAACCTGAACCCAGCCTGGACCCAACCTTAACCCAACTTGGACTCAGCCTGAACACAAACAAAACTCAGCCTGAACACAACCTGAACTCAGCCTGAACCCAACCTGGACCCAGCCTGGACCCAACTCCAAAATAGTCCCGTCTCCGTCCACAGTTCATGCAGAGCTGATGCAGCTCGTAACTTATTCAGCCCCTGGCCCCTAAAGGAAGGAAAGCGATGTGGCATTTTTGGATCAGGACCAGAATGGTGGCTTCCAGACAGGCTGTCACCACCCAGCCCCTTTGCTGCTTTCTTGCTGGGGGGTAAGAGAGCAGGAAATAGAGAGGAGCTATTAACCCAAGCCTGATGTGAGCCTCCATCATCTCCCCCTGCCGTCTGTGAAAACAGTGAATCAATATGATATGCAGTAAAATCACCTGATATACAGGCCACTGCCACAATACCGACACTGCATTTCCATGAATTTGGAAGGCGGTGCTTTTTTAAAAAAAAAAAAAAAAACTTACATTGTTCAGCCATCTGTTGACCAAATTTCATATATAATCATTTATCATTTCAAAAAGACAAGAGGCAAACATTTTAGTATGTATTTAGTACTTTGCCTCTGCCTCTAAAATCACAATTTAGATTATAATGGTTATATGGATGATGCATTTTCAAGCATTATATTCATTCACACGATGGTGAACTGAGCATGAATAAATACCAGCAATCCTAATGGCCAATGTAACCAGAGCAATCACATTTTGTCATACTTGGTATTGATTAGTACAGTGGTTCTCAAACTGGGGGCCGCGGCCCCATGGGGGGCCACCAGATGGCACTAGGGGGGCCGCATCGAAATTGTAGAATCTAAAGAAAAAAATTACCTGTTTGTAAATCAGGCTTGTCAACCTATGTAAAATATAATGTATTTAAAAAAAAAAATAGAAGTATTAAAAAAATGTACATTTTACTGTTCAGTATTCAGTACTTTTGTTGCACTTTTCAGACAATGTTAGTTTTACTGTCAAAACTGTTTTAATACAATGTTATATTTTGTGAAATGTAAATTTAACAAACCAGAGAAATAAAGACTACAAACAGAATCTAAAATCTAAAATTAAGTAAAATTGTAAGTTTGAGGATGTTTTGCGTCATGAGATTTTTTTTTGAGGAGGGGGGCCACAAAAGGATTCACCCTACACCAGGGGGCCTCCTGCTGAAAAAGTTTGAGAACCACTGGATTAGTATAATAAATTAATGCAAAGGAATGAGAGAATTAAGTCAGTACATCACTGCTGCCACTCATGCTCATTGTAGCATTTCAAATGCAAAATCATGCTCTACCGTTGGTTCTAAACTCTCATGACAGGTTCACCACTGTTAAGCTCTTACTTATCCCTGATCTAGAGTTACTCAATGATCAGCTGCATCTCACAGAAGCTCCTAACGAGGTATCATGAGTGGAATTTGGAAACTGACCCGAGAGAATAGCTACGATGGACGTAGCGCTACATCTTGGGTTTGTTTTTCTTATGCATTCATACTTCCATTTGCGGAAAAGTAGAGTGATATTCTGACACAGCAGAGGTCTATACAAACCGCTGAGGGTGCCAGACTGCCCGCACCCTCCTCCCCTGCCCCGGGAGGCCCTTACCTCCCACAGAGACCGGAACTCCCGCTGCTCGATCCGCAGGAGCTCGCAGGACTCACGGGTGACGATGGTGGCATGCCGTGGGGTGTTGTCCAAAATGGACTCACCAAAGGCCGTTCCAATGCCCAGGGTACAGATTGTGACAGCATCCTTCACAGGGAAAGAGAAGATGCCATGAGACAGCCTGGACCTATCAGCAGGACAGGACTGCAGGGCTGGATGATACTGACAAAAATTCACATCACAATATTTGAAATCTTTGCGATAAATACTGGGATATTTATAAAAAATTTGAAATTGTGTTCAGGCTGGGTCCAGGTTGGAAGCCAAATGGGGTAGCCAGATCATGCTAAGCATCCTTCTACTCAGCCTGGTGTTTTTAAACATTGCTCTAATGTGAGTTGAAATTTATCTGAAATTAACTATAGCCAATAGAGTCTGTCAAATAAGTCGGTGGTGTGTCCGTGAGCTGAGCCAACAGAGGCAAAGCCGTACTGACAAGGCACTTGCTTTTGCTCAATAACAGCTATGAAATCCAAAATATTTTCATATGGTAGAAGTCAAGCGTCTTTTGGCAGGGCTGCGCAGGTGCTTGACCGGTAAAACTGGCCAACCAAGGGGCACTCATGACTCAGGGCTCAGAAGGGAGCCGCTTACAAACGTTCATGCCAAATGAGCAGCTGATCAGGCACCCCCAGCCGTCCCCCCAACCCCCCCCCCCGTCACGTCCCTGTCTTTCAGTGACGAGCTCTCGTTTGCTTTTCTCCTCCTCACCCATTATTGTTAAAACTCTCACAAACACGCCACACTGCCTATCAGTGAATCCGTGCAGCGCTCATGCAAAACAATGGTGGTCAACTTTAGATTTATTTTTATTTTTTTACATATACTACATAATCTTGAAAAGGAACTACCTTTAAAATTGCAGAGCTTACCAAGTTTTGTTTCCTATGACGGAGTAAAAATGTTTCAGCATATCTTATTTTCTTAACCCAGCTGACTATTGTGGTCCTTCCGCTGTGACAACTACATGTGCATATTAGGCAATGTCAATATTAAAATCCTACATTGTGAAGCACTATAGGGAAGACAGCAAAGGATTGTTTTAACAGAAGCAGAATGAGAGAAGCCTGCATTTCAGCCCATGGAGGGATGCTACCATGTGACACTATTCGTGACATCTGTCATGAAAGCCACTTTATGAGCTTGGATATAATGACCAGCCAGAGAGATAAAGATGTTCTAGATTGAAACTGAAGGTCATGCAGAGATGAAACTGATACAATTTGGGCTTCATACAGTGGAGACTCAGGAATGAAAGCAAATGTGCAGTAATATGCTTCATTTTGAAGGTAGACTGTCTTTCATCTTGGGGGGGGGGGGTAAGGTGGATGGAGGGCTTGACTAATTAAATGGATTTCATTTATATAAAAATAATCACCCAATCCAAAAGGCGTGAACAACTTGGGCACCGATTACATAGTCTGAACCAAATAATGAAGAGCGACCAAGGTGACTGAAGTTAAGGGTAACATAGTTTCTGAGTTCCCTGCAGGTCCAATGCGAAGCACGCTTCATCTTACATGAGCTGAGAGATGAGGGTCAGATCTTTATAGTTTCGAAAGAGTCAATAAATGTTATGTGCTTTAATATTTGACAAGTGCATAAAAACGTCCAAGAGCAAAAAAGAGTCATAATAATAAAATTTAATTAAACCGATGTCAGCAGGTCAATATATCATTGTCTGTTCTGACATGTTGGCACAAATTGCATTAAGTCTGAGGAAAATGAGGTGAATTACAGGCAGTGTATGGATTCTCTTTATATAGCACCAGGAACCAGTGGAGTCCAGACTGAAGAGCCCGTCGGTGAGCTCAGAACGGCATACATAGGATATAGACATCGATACAATAATATAAGTCAACAATGGATCACAAAGTCATCTCAATGCACCTGAAGAAGACATTGGTCGGGGGAGCCAGTTTACAGTGAAAAATGACATGAAGAGCCATGCTACATCCTTACAGTGCTTCCAGGAGCTGTTACCTGGTGGTTGGCTGTCTCAGACACTTTGACATCCAGTGAGCCGGAGAGGACAGCGTACCAGCTTGTCCCGATGTCCCCCTGACGATACACTAAAACACAAAACAAAAACAAACAAAAAAACAACTGTAACCATCAGGGATAGAGGCGACAGCATTCTAGCACTGCCTAACAATGATATAATCTCTGTATTTTCAATACTCAGTAATCTCCATATATGATCATGATGAGCCCAACAGAACATTTTTAGAAGTGTGGAGACTAGAAAATGCTTCAGAAATGGAATGTGACATACAGGTGATGCCCTTATCCAGGTACTCGTAGAATCCACAAAGACAGATCTGCTGAAGAAGATTCAGATGGAACTTCTCAAAGGCCTTTACATTCTTTAGCCGGGCAAGTATAATGTCTACATCTTCTCCAGAACGTTCAGCAGGCCTGGTGGAAGGAGAATATTTCTGATCAGTCCTTCACTGAGAACTCAGAAAAAAAACAGCAGTAGCAATTATAACACAATAAAAAATAACATAATAAAAAATATAAAATTATGATCTCAGCCAGTTTTTGCTGTGAATATGAGAAAAATAAACACGTTGTAATAACTACATTCATTACTACTGGCAAGAAATAAAAACCAATATCTTAAACATGTAAACCTTTTCATAAAACTTAAGAACAAATATTGAAGGCATTAATGAAAGTATATATAGATATATACTTAGGAATATGTAAGATTATTAGTTAGTTATGCTTAATGTTGGTTTAAGTCAAAAAACAAAACTTCGATCACAGCTTCTTCTGTAATTCCCTTCTATGTACAAACCATTCCGAATCAGCCTTTTCTCCAGCCCTGGACCAGCATCTTGGCCCCCAAATACCCCCCACCACCCCAAAACCCAACCTTGCACTAACACAAATATACGCACAGTGCTCTAGTTGCACATCGATGCCAACCAGCCTGTGTGGAAAAAAATGATAAAAACCAAACCCTCTGAAAATATACCCCATCTGTAAATTTTATCGTGGGGGACCCCGTATCGTTAACACTGGACTCAACTACTGCATATCGAGACATAAACAATAACACACTGGTTTCCCTGTAGGTTTTCACACTCAAATACACTGTCTCTTCATGTGACCTAGAAGAAACCTCGACTCAGCTCTGCTTCACAGTAATGAATGGTTTCTTCATGTAGCCTTTAACGACGCAAAGAGCTATAAATATTTTCTGACTGATGACTTTAGCAGAGTTGTGCTGAGATGCAATATTACTGCTTATCAAAATGATCAGAAGGGAAAAACGGTGAGACTAAGATTCACTGTTAGAATACCAATCAGAATATGTAACAATATACAGTACTGGAAGATCCAAAGAGCGCTGCAGAATACAGTCAGGTCTCAGGGGGAAATGTAACGGATTTGCAGTATGCAAAAATAATTGTACGTTGTTCACATTTTCAGCACCATTTGTGATGGCCAGTGGTGCTATGCAGTAGTAAACACACCTGTTCCAAAAAAACAGCTCTCTACAGCAAATTAGAATGTGTCGTGGGTATTTGGAATGTGTTGCATCGTGGGTATTTATACATAATGTTACATGGCAGGACTCCTTTTGTCCTGTTTGAGGCAAACTTTAATATTGTGTCCAAATGTTTCTATGACTCAACAAATTCCCAGTATCCATTTCCAGTGGGATGTATGAGCAATAATTTTGATGTGAAGAAGTGGAAATTCAGCTCTTTCCAGATTCTATTTCAGAATACAACACAATGAAAAACAAAAAAGTATGTGTAGTACTGGTATAGGAAAAACAAATTATCAAATGTAAAAAAACGGCACTTTTCAAATGCCATCCTACATGTTTGAACTACAACTGTCATTCATATTACTCACCCATGGATCTTCCAGACACTTAATCAGTACAGGATCACAAAGCAGTATACTGGGCACAAAGCAGGAAACCACTCTGAATGGGATGCCAGTCCATTGCAAGGCACACACTCTCACGCAGTATAAGCAATTCCAGTTTGCTTAGCTGCATGCTTTTTTAACTATGGGAGGAGAGCCCTGCACACTGAGGGGAACTTGCAGACTCCACACACACAGAGCAGAATGGGACTGGAACAGCAGCAACACTGAACAGCGGCAACATTGTCATTCATCCATCCATCCATATCCATAACAGTTAAAATATGCTCAAAACAAAATTCCAAATCACCATCTAACAAATATGCAGAGTATAACGTAAAAATGATTAATTACCTACATGCTTGTTATACCCCATGTCATTTTAACTGAACATAAACATGATTTCATGAAAAGCCAAGTGACACTCTGGACCTGTCCCAAAATGGATTACAAAGCTGTCTCATGCAATGCACCCGAAGAAGACATCAATTAACAGAAAATGGAGACTGGAAATTAGCACAGAATGAACTTACTTCATGTCTCTCCACTCCCTCCATATGGGTAAGAAATAAGCACCTTTACCCTCACACGTAATCCATGAGTTACGACAAGGACCGTCAGACATAACTAAAGTGGCAGACACAGAAGTGCAATGGTTGAGAGGCAAGCTGTCTTGCACTTGTGTCAGCAGTGTCACGCTTCTAAGGGGTTCATTCCCAGATTCTGCCTATTTGCGTTTTCCAAGCTGTTTTGATACATAGCGGTTTACAATGGGAATCCTCAGTGACATTTGTTCTCTGAACAAACGGCTAAAGACAATTCCTCCTTTGATGAGGATGCTGTCGATTTGCCTACCGTGATTCTAAAAAAAATATCGTGCATTACGCACCATTGGTGCAATGCTCCTAAAGCCTGAGTCATCCAGGCTGGATGTAAGGCGTGTAGTATGAATGTAAGGCTATTGATCGGCACACGGATGTTACAACAAAGCAAGTCTTTCTAGGTAAAAGGTCAGTGTTCAGAACTTTCAGCATGTCACAAATCAGGAAGACATCAGATGTCTGCCCCCAAGACATATTATACTGTCTGATGAGATGTAATTAAACAATGTGAGGGAGTGGTTTCAATGGCTGATATGGCTATGGGTGGCTTTCACACCAGCCAGGATGCTGATAATTAGTTCATTAGGGTACATAATACTGAAAGATCAACAACAGAATATTAAGTGCTACGTAGGAAGATATTGGCAATTAAACATATATTCATATTTTTTTCAGTTCATTTTTTTCAGCATCTTGGACTGATTGTAAACAGTGATTTAATGCTTTATCTCCAGAGGTCATCAATTTGTCTGAACACGGACAAACGTGATAAGAGATCGTCTGTGTCCGTGGCAAGATGTTTTAACTGAGAAAAAAACCTGTGTAACCTGCTTATTTAAATACCATATCCATGTAAAAATTGCAACTTGATAAAAAATATATATAAATCCATCAGAATGCACCATGGTGATGATTTATATCAAAATTATTTTTTCTTCTTAATGATATATTAAATTGTGATCATATTTCAATAAAAAAGAGTTTGTACATGCAACAAACACGCATATAGTTTTCCACCTGCGGGGTTATTGATATCAAATTCGTTTATTTCTAAATATTTTATGCTTGAGAAAATGACAGAAAGAGACGTACTCCACAGGCGTGTTAGTACAGCAAACCACTGGATGAGAACAGCAGCAGCGTGAACCATGTAACTGCAACAAAAGACATCTGCGCTTCTGTCCCCCCTCCAGGTGACGTCCGACTATTCTACTACAGAACAACGGAAACGCTATTTATGCCGCTCTACAATGAATCAGCCACCACAGTCATGACACTAACGTGCCATTTACATACATTTATACATCCGTTTATTAAAAATAATTAGGCAGCAGAAGCTTGGATCATTTTTAATAATATATATTGTACACACGTTTCAGTTGTGTTACAGTAACCTACGAGCGATGCCTTTTAAAGGAACTACTCACGCCCGATTGTGTATTTCAATTAACATTAACAATATATTTTAAGAGACGTAAAGGTTTGACAAAATATAAATAACACATAAGATTTACCTTGTAGCAAAGCCGCATAGTACACAACAGAAGTGATATCAAACAGAGCTTTGTGAAATCAGTCCATAAATTTCTGTAGTCACAATGGAGGGCAAAAATAACAAAGAAATACTAAGTGGAATTTGTGCAGCTCACCTTTTATCAAGGCAAATGATCCATTCTGCGGATGCGGAAGGATGGGTGGACGTGTGCGCCGCTACCATCTTTGACGAAATCATGGACCCGGTGTAGCTCGAAGATTTACATCATCCGCACATGATAACGAGCTCCCCGGCTCCCCCGGCTGGCAGGCGCATCGCTACGCTGCCTGCTTCTCCATTCACAGCGGGGGGTCTCACTATGTGTTCGGATTTTCACAAAAAAATAATCAGTGTTTAAAAACAGTACGTCTGGCGCTTAAAATATCCGTAATATTATACGCAAATGGACAATAAAACGTCAATATCTTCATTAATCAAAAAGATACTGCAGCATTTAAACGTATGGTGAAAACTTAAACACCATCTGTTGTAATGTGCTGAATAAGTTCAGTTCCTCACAATGGATCCCAATTTCATCTGTCCGTTTTTCCATGCATTCTTCTCAAGTAGGCCTGGGCTGGGATTTTTTGGTCCTGGACTTTGGGGTCTCCGACGGCCCCATAACAGGGGCGTAGCCAGACTTTTTTGCTGAACATGTGTGTGTGTGTCTGTGTGTGTGTTGGGGGGGACTCAGTTCAACCAAGTAAATTTTGCTGGCCCAGATACACATCGGCTAACTGTGAAATTTCCCGGTATGCCAGATCACCAGTCCAGCCATGTTCTCAAATAATGTTTATGGTGTGACACTATTGCATGCATACGGTAGCCCATATAATATAATAATAAACTACACGTACAGTGCATCCGGAAAGTATTCACAGCGCATCACTTTTTCCACATTTTATGTTACAGCCTTATTCCAAAATGGATTAAATTCATTTTTCTCCTCAAAATTCTACACACAACACCCTCTGTGAATGTCCTTGAGTGGCCCAGCCAGAGCCCAGACTTGAATTGAACATCTCTGGAGATCTTAAAATGGCTGTGCACCGACGCTTTCCATCCAACCTGATGGAGCTTGAGAGGTGCTGTAAAGAGGAATGGGCCAAACTACCCAAGGATAGGTGTGCCAAGATTGTGGCATCATATTCAAAAAGACCTGAGGCTGTAATTGCTGCCAAAGGTGCATCAACAGAGTATTGAGCAAAGGCTGTGAATACTTATGTACATGTGATTTCTCAGTTTTTTTTATTTTTAATATATTATTTAATCCATTTTTGGAATAAGGCTGTAACATAACAAAATGTGGAAAAAGTGATGTGCTGTGAATACTTTCCGGATGCACTGTACGCATTAGGGTCCACGTATCTTCTTGAATTCATCCAAACTAGGATGCCCAGGATTACACCCAATTTACCCAAGTATAGCTTTACTTTAGAATAAACACAAATAAATGTTTTGTTTTCAAATAAATAAAAATCCTAAGAAAATCAGTATGAAAACTGTTATATTATAGTGTCAAAGGCATCAAAATAGAGACATATTTTCCACGGGAGAGGCACAAACACTGACATTCGAGCGTCACATCAGATCCACACGCAGTGAAGCAGATTGTGAAATCTGGGGGATCACCCATTAGTGTGAAGAGTGCTAGACTAGTATGAGGCGTTAAACTGAGAAGGGTCTGGCTGCGGAAAAATGGGGGTCTTCGCTAGGAGATCTCCACTGCGGGGCCAGAAATTACGTGGACTCCACTCCTGGGCCGGACATGACGTTATGCAAACTTCAGGAATGGTGGGGAAATGTAGGGTAGTTATATTATTTTTATTTGTTAATGATTACTATGGTATTATTATAAATTAATATAATTTTATATATTGTAGTGCTGACAGTGCTGAAGCAGAGAAGGACAAGGAGACTTGTTTGCCGAGGAAAACGCTTTCTTTAACAGCAGACCTTAACAGAAGTATTACAGGCACCCAAGCAGCACCACACCAAATACACAGCGGAAACACAAGGTTGTCAGACGCCGAACCGTAAGGTGTACACATGCTGGGAGATTTATACTGTACAAGCTAAATACACACGAGGATCGGACAGGGTACACACAAGATAGAGGCAAACACGCGTGCGACAATAGGGAAATGCAACCATTAACAACAACCGTACAACAAGGGTTATTTACAATTGCACGCGGGACATGCACTATGTATATGTGTGTGGAATATTAAATGTTATTAATTTTACATATAGAATTATAATAAGTATTATTATTAGTAATAATAAATCATAATAATGTATTCTAATAACATAGGATAGGATATTATCATCTCCACTTATATCGTATTATTCTGTGTAACGGAGGATATACTACCACTAAGAGGCTCCACAATAGCGCTGGATATGACGTTAGTGCCACATCGGGAGCTATTACTTTAAGAGAAGTATGTCTTTAATAATCCAGTCCACTGAGTTCACTTTAGGAGCGTCATGTCCGGCCCAGGAGTGTCCACTGTTCTGATTCTTCATTTGGTAAGCTAGATTTAGATTAATCTTTTGTGCCAATCCATGTCCACTAACTGATGAATCCGCTACCAGTGACTTTCTCTTCTCTCCCCACAACTCTAATAATCTACTCTGTCCTCTGTCTTCCAAGCCAAATCGTACTTCCCCCTTGACCCCATATACCAAGACCAAGACCAAGACACACTAAGGCGAGACCAAGACCAAGATCAAGACTGGTCGAGACCAAGACCAAGACTGAAAACAGACTAGGGCTAGAATCGACATCACATTACTCAGATCAACTATAGAGAAAAAAGGCATTTCTGTAAAGTGTCATTACTCGTTATATGAAATTCATGTTATCTTATCAATTATATTGTCCATATGTCCATATGTCTCTCATTTAAAATCTCCAAGATTGCTCATAGTTACGAGGCCTGATGGAAAATAATATTCTCAGCAATCCTCTCCTATAACCATTTTATCAGACCTCGTCAAGGGAAAGAGATGGGATGTACCAGAAAGATGTTCATATTAAGGATCTTATACCAGGGACAGAGGCCTCAGGTAAGCTATGAATACAGCTATGTAATGATCCTTTGCTTTGAATTGAAGAGAATGAGCCTCCAGATTGACTTGCACCTCCAAGACCGTGCTTTATAATCAATGTAAAATACCTAATTTATTTGAATTATAACTATGCTATAGACTTCGCGGACATTTTCGGACATTTCTTTGCCGACTTCACTATGATGTGATGTGTATGATGTGTGTGGACTGTGAAGCACTGGCAGTGTCCATTGAGAAAATGTATACAATGTAACGTTTTTAAAATAGATGCATCTGACTGGTTGCATTTGAACTGAGGCGCGTAATAAATAATGATACTGTTCTGTGAGGATGTGCTGTTTTCTCTTTTTTTCCCCATCCCATCGAGACCGCTATGTCCGAGACCAAGACAAGACCGAGACCAAATAGAGTCGAGATCAAGACAAGACCGAGATCAAATAGAGTCGAGACCAAGACAAGACCGAGACCACAAAAAATTGGTCTCGAGACCGGTCTCGAGAACTACAGCACTACCATGAGGACGTGTCTCAGATCCTGACAGCCAGCAACCCCACCACATGTTCACTCAACCTGGTTGCTTCTGGCATGTTGCAGCTTATTTCTCAGGATCTTCTCCCACACATCACGCAGGTAGCATGGCAAGGCTCCCAATCAGCCTCAAGAAGGCTGGCCACTGGTGTTCCTCAGGGCTCAGTCTTAGGACCCCTTCTCTTCTCCTTATACACAGGTTCTCTTGGGAAGGTCATATCCACACACGGGCTCTCCTACCACTGTTATGCAGATGACACTCAACTCTGACTATCAGGTCTCAACTCAAATCTCAGACTGCCTGACTGATATAACCTCTTGGATGACATCCCACCACCTCAAGCTAAACTCCAGTAAGACTGAACTGCTGTACATCAAAGGCAATTCATCACCGACTCTTAACCTTGCCATTTCCTTTGAAAACTCTCTAATTGTCCCCTCAAAACAGTAAGAAATCTCTGTGTCATTATGGATGATGAATTATCATTCTTGTCACACATTAGCAACCTGTCCAGGTCCTGCAGATACCATCTCTACAACATTAGAAGAATTCGTCCCTTTCTCAAGACAGACGCTACTCAGTTACTCGTCCAGTCCTTAGTCATCTCCAAGTTGGACTACTGCAACTCCCTTATGGCTGGTCTTTCACTGAAAGGCAACAAGGTCACTTCAGTTGATCCAGAATGCAGCTGCGAGACTCATCTTTAATGTTTCTAGATTCTCGCACATCACACCTCTTCTACGGAACCTGAACTGGCTCCCTCTGGCTGCCTGCATCAGGTTCAAATCCATAACACTTGACTTTAAGGCCAAGTCTGGAACAGCTCCTCCTTACTTGGCAACACTGATCAAGAATCGTGTCCTCTCAGAGCATCAAGCGCTGCTTGTCTCGAACCACCAACACTTAAAAGAGGACGACATGCATCAAGACTTTTTGCAATGTTGGCTCCTCAGTGGTTAAACAAACTTCCTCTTGCCATAAGAACGGCCGAGTCCCTTGCTGTCTTCAAACGTCATCTGAAGACACACCTCTTCAAGGAGTACCTAGGAGACTAATACTCCTGTTACTGTCCACTCTCTCCATTGAACAAAAATAAAAAAAAACCCATTAACAATGTTTGCCTGTGCACAGTCTCATCTTAACAAGGTTTTTATACAATGTACTTAGCGGCAACTTGGTTTTAAGTTGTTGATTTTAGGTCTAGCTTATAGATCGAAGAACAGTCATGGACTACAAAGCACTGTTGTAAGTTGCTGTGGAAAAGAGTGTCTGCTAAATGCTGTAAATGTAAATGCATGGGTGGTGAATCAGCTGGGAGTAGGGAAGGATCTGTGGTATCCGAGGTGAACTTCTCCAGGCTGGTGGTAAGGCTGTCCTCCAGGCATTGCAGTCATCAGCAGCCAGAGCAGTGTGGTTTTACGCCTATGAAGTTTACCATCGACCACATCCTGGCACTGAGGGTTCCCATTGAATGCAAGCGCGAATATCGGCAGAGGTTCTTTGCAGCCTTTATTGATTTTCATAAAGCGTTTGACTAAGTTGATCGAGTTGCCCTGTGGGACATCCTGAGACTTCGTGTGATCCCCCTGAAGCTTCTGGACATCATGGCCAGC